TGTCATCGGCTGAGTCGACGAGAATGATCGTTAGTGGAAGAGTCCAATTAGAAGAAGGAGCCGACATACGTGTGATGCAATAATAAAAGCATATATTTAGGACATTAAACGTTCGAACGTTTTGATTGTTGAAAAATAAATAGGAGACTTTCTTTGATCGTAATTTAGTTTCAGAAGTTGACACAATTATAGCAATAGTTATAGTCCGGGTGTCATTTTGCTGCTTCATTTCCCAACGCTCTTACCTGGTGGTAATCGTATCCACTTGAGTGCACAGAATAGATTAATTCAAGAGAGTCATGTGATGCTGAGTCATTTTTGGCTCGTCTCTACTCTTTCAGTAGAGCTGTCAGCAGTATACAAATAGACACCATAAGCCTCTAACCATCACCAGTAAACTTGATGAAGTTCTTAGTCAACTCGGTGTGATCTACTGAAAATGAATTACCTTACTCTTATATATTGGATCTGGAAGGTTGAGAGAAAGGAAACTGCTGTAGATTTATGGGGGTTGAAGCTGAGAGGAACTCGAAGACTGAATTATTGCTCGAGTCAAAACTAAAATGATGCAGAGAACAGGAAGTATCATAGCCTGAGGAAGAGAAAGAATAATGTTAATTTCCTTCAATCCTGACTACTTGACTCATGTGATTGAGTTAGACCTGGTGAATCTGCAATAGCGCAGGTTTCCCAATCAATAGCTTTATGCAACTCTTTTTATATGGCTTACGTACCTGTGATAAGAAGGAAAGGACATCTCGGGAAACACTCAATAAAAACGAGATAGCATATGCTAAACAAAGACATAAATGTAACCTATAGTTTGTTCACAAAGTCCTGTTCTTTTCTTACAATAAATTTTTATTTTTTGTTGCAGATATGTCACAGTGTCTGATATCAGTAGCTTCCTCGTCACTGACTCCATCCATGTTACGGAAGATGGGGCACCGAACATGGAGACGGATCATTATCTGCCGTGAAAATGATAGCGCTCGCTCACACTGCCGTCTAAATACAGTTAAACACTTGTACTGAACACGATTAAGTACATCTAAATACAATTATCATCATTCTTCCACATGTTTCAGTTGTTGATTAGTAGTGCACTGCACACAAAAAAATGGGGGTAACCGGACATTGTGAACAACCTGTAGAAGGTCCATTAAATGGCAATTGAGTTACGAATGCACGAGATTATAAACATCACCAGAATAATAAAATACCAGTTACTGTTTGCAGTCTCCACTGCTGTGTGGATCAATGGTGAGTTTATATCAACTTTGCAGGAAGTGAGTGAGCCACAGATATGAAGTGATGCACTCAGGCTTAATGATATTGAAGTGGAATTTTTGAGATGCCAAATGAAGTGTCTGATAAAATGAAATTCTTGGTGTGTCGCACAACTCAAATCAAGTCAAATCCACCAGGGACTTGAACTGAGAGTATTCACTGCAGCTAGTGTCTGCCCCACAGAGTATTGCGAATGTAGGATTAATAATGGAAACCATGTGGAAGGAATCACAGTTTTACAGATCTGTTCGCCTCAGTACTGGAGGTTTCAAGGTCTCTGACTATATCAACAAATTTGCGGTATGATTATCAAACATTACGCTTATTTAAAAACAAAAGTGGCAAATTTAAGCAAGTCTGTTGAGTCTGATCTACTATATGTGTATGTATATGTGAAAATAATTTGAAATGTGGATCAAATATTGTGATGTCTGACAATAACAAATTAGCTGTTGTATTTGAGTACTTCTGGTTGCAAGTGGGTAACGGTTTCTGTCTAGAAATGTAGGAAGTTTCTTCAGGATGTAATACTGTGTAGCAGATCTAGCCTCTGCTTTTCATACCAACAGAATATCTTCAATAACAAATAAAAGCAGAAAACTAAGCACAGACAGAACATTAGTAAAGCATCTAATTACAGAATGGAAACTGTAACATCCAGGCAAATGTTAGGTGAATCATGTATTTATTTTGGATTTGACTCAAATCTTAAAACAGCTTTTCAATTCATCTGATCATTTGTCAAAATGAGAGCCTTTATTGACTTAAGTTGTTGAATTCCGTCTCAACTTTGAAGCTGATTTTAAGACAGAAATAATGTCTCCTGGAGAGGATTTTATCAATCAGTGTCTGACGGAAAGTATATTTTAAAATAACATTGGGGGAAGCAATTCCATCTGGTGAATCTAGACTTACTCTATTAAATATAGTATTTCAGAGAGTGCAGGATGTGGCAAATTATTGAATTCAGTCTTAACCTTGAAGTCGTTTTCTTGCAATTATCTTAAAAGGACTCGCAGAAAATTGACTTCATGTATACATGTTACGATTAAAGATTAAAGTATTCTATTATGAAATGTACAGTATTTTCAATGATATATGTATATATAGAATGCAATCTGACAGCTTTGAACACTAATAATAATAATCCTTGCATTTGATATCGTGCCTTATCCGATATACAAATACACGTAAATACAAAGCACATTTTAGTACAGGAAATGCATGGGGTGGGGTGGTGGTGGGGGGGGGGAGTGAAAGAGTGCTTTTCTTTTTCACTACTCTGTGCTGCCAGTCAGCAAAATGTCCATAGCTGGGTACTAGTCCCACAGCTCCGGAATAAATCTGCACCTGTAATAAATCTTCACTGAAATAAATGTTCACAGTCAGCAGAAACTTTGTGTATAATTTAAGAATAAAATGCAATTGTGCAAAAGTAGCTATATAAGAAATTTTGAGGAATTTGCTGAGGGGACTTTATCAGACATTGTATGAAACGCAAGGATTATTGTTAATAATACTCCTTGGGTTTGATATAGCACCTCATCACTTTGTTGAGACATCTCAAAGGGCTTCACAGAATATATTGTAAAGTGAATTGACTGTATATTTTGTGGGTGAAACGCGGCAGCCAATTGCGCACAGAAGTGTCCCATAAACAGCCGAGGATTGATTGACCAAATTATTATTAACAACCGGGTTCCTACTTACTGCTAGGTAAACAGAGGCATGTGGAGTAAGAAAACCTGCCTACTGTTTTGCCCAGCAATCAAATCTTGGTCCAATCTTTTGCGAGGCGATTGCTCTAACCAGTACCCTACAGGATTCGACTTATAGAATGATATAAGATTTTAAAAGTGATTGAGGAAGTAAACCCAGATCTTAAATAATAAGGTAGCCATTTTCTGAAAGTTCTTCAAGCACTGTGTTAAACTAGCTTCAAGGTTAAGACTGACAACTTTTCAAATTCTGCATGTTTTCACTCAATAACAACAATACTCTTAGCACTGCTCTCCCTTTGCTCGTCATTATCAACTCAACTCTCAACCCTAGAGAGACCCCACTCATCCTCATTTTGTAAAATGGTATCATCTAATTAGGAAGTAGAATTGTATTAATTTTCTTTCAGTTGGGATATTAGCCTCTAGTGGACAAATTTCATTTCAGATTCAGAATGAAAATGATGTCTAGTGCAGTATAAATCAGGCTGAACACAGGTGGAGATGCCGAGTAAGATTGGGAAAATATCATGGTCCCTCACTATCGCTTGGGACCTTTAAAGGGATTTACTTGTGGTTTGAACAGTTGGGTTATTCATGCCAGAATGCAGTAGTCATGTCAATACTGGAGGTTTGGACACCACATTCTCAAAGCATTCCTCCGGTAAGATAAGAATGCTGACCTTAGAGTGTGACTAATTGAAAAGCTGTACACAATGTGCATATATTGAATAGTCTTGTTTGAAACTTGTTCTTTTGAACTGCTGCAGTTAGGTGTGAAATTCTTTCACACCAGACAGGTTGTCTTTGGAAGCTGCATTTTCTGCAAACTGGAAATTGAACATCCTGGTAAAAAAAAACCTATCCTGTAACAAAACAGGTTAGCCTACAATATTAACCGAGTGTTTTACCTATTAGAGTTGCATTTTGCTTTCCTAGAAGATGGATATTCTAGGCACTCGTAGCAATAAGACTCAGCCTTGGCCATTCTAACATCTATTAACTGCATTGAGAGCAAAATATATACATGGCAAGCTCGAAAACTAGGAAAAGTTGACATAGCTCTCAAAACGACTTTCAATCTGGCTTTCTAATACTTGAATCTGACTCATCAGCAAGACTTGAAAGGGACTGTAGGCAGGGACTCTCCCTCTGAGCTCCCGTTAACCCTGCAAGCCAAAGCCCTGATGTGTAGCGTAGTCCTAGCTGGGCAAATAGTGGGAAAGCTTGCTGGTCTCGATGGCAAGCTAGGCAGTTTTAGTTGATTAGACTCCAGCAGTTATCCAAACGCACACTCTGGGGTCCCCAAGGATTGGCTCTTGCCAACCTATGCCTAATACTTTCCGAAATTAAGTAAGCAGGATGCATCCCTCCAGGGAGAGAGTGCGCATTCCATTCTAATAAGCATTTCTGGAATTTCCAAGTATAGGTGGGATACATGGAACTCTCAGTTTGGTTTGTTTGCTCTTAAGCACGGAGATGGGTTTCTGCAAGTGTCAGATTCCTGTCTGACCCCCCAAAAAAATTAACAAAGACATATGTTTATTATTCATAAAACATGTTTCGAAAGCCGACTATGGTTCCATCCAGAAATACGTTTTAAAAACAGGGATATTATGCTCCAGTGACTCCACTCAACAGTTTTCAAAGAGTCTAATGGTAATACCTGGGATACTGTTTAATGCAACTTCATCCCACAATGGGGCCTGAGACGGTGAAGGCATGTGCCAGAGAAAATATTGCACCAATCGTCATCCGCAGTCTATTTTGGTTTCATCTGACGGACAATATCAGGGCTGCTGGATGCATTACCATTTGAGAACATGCATTCTGAGGGCATTGTAAACAGCTGCAATGATGATTCAATACAATTCTTTGTTCCTCTCGTCCTGAGACTCGGAGCTAGGATTAAATGAAAAGGACCTTTTTCTTTATTTCCAGAGACTTTTTTTTAGCACCATTCAATTTTTTTTAATGCAATGTACAAACGTAGCTTTAAATAACGCTCTCTTGTTTTAAGCATCAACAACAGTGTGGTGCCCTGTCAATCACTGCCTGGGATGGATGGAATGCTTATCGACAGCTTCTGTCAAGAAAAAAATTCTAATCGCCCAGACGTGTTTACGTGACGTCAAGAGGCAAAGAAGAATGCAGGTTACACCAAGCTGGTGGGTTATTTAAAAGTCAGTGAGAGACAGGATTGACAGGCCAGTGAATGAGTGTCAAATAGGCTGAAATAGGATGACAAATTTAAGGAGCTCAGACAGTCCTTCACAGGCGTTGTAGGCAAGCAAGTGAGAGATAGTGTTGCAAACAGAGAGAGCAAAAAAGAAGTCTGCATTACCTGAAGAGCATTCTTGCAGAATTGCAAGGTGGACATGTGAGAATTGAGCTGAACTTTTTGAACTGTTCCCCCACCTTTCTCTCCCTCTCTCTTTCTCTCTTATCTCTTTTGCTCAAATTTGACCAAAAATGAGTAAGCAAGACTCTCTGGCCACTTGCTTGGCGAGGATGTATGAAGGAAATAGCCGTGACTCTCAGGGTAAAAACAGGGCAGTTGTTCAAGTGAAGAAGTCGGCTGGTGCAGGTCAAGGTGGTGGCTCCAATAACCTGAGTGTGATGGACAACAAGCTGAGTCTCCTTCATGAAAAAGTAGATCAAATCGTAAACTTTCAGGGGCAAGTTCTGAAGAAACTGGAAGACATGTCTCATGGAATGGGTGAACTGGAAAAGAACATAGAAAATCTGAAAACCTTCAAAGGTACTGATGGAGTCGAAGAAGGGAAGGACAATGACACCAAGTGCTCTCAAGATGCCGGGCGCCTTGATCAGGCTGAGATGTTTGTGGAGCTGTTGAGACTTGTTACATCTGTTCACCAGGACACGGCAAAACAGAGTGCGAAGTTGGACGGGATGGAGAAAATGCTATCAGCTGTGGATAAAGTCATTCATTTTGTAGGCGAGACCTTCAAGAATTCCAAAATAGTGGAGTTTATTCTTAAAGGGATTGTCCCTTGGAAAAAGGAGAGCTTGATAGAATCAGAGGTCAGTGTTCGCTCAGAAAACAATCTGAGTTATTATGGAATGAAAACGTTGTTAATAGGAGCAGTAGGCATTGCTTAGAATAGAAAATGTGCATTAATAAACATCATTATTTGGTTTGAAGAAAATTGATATTGTATACAATGGTTTTACTGTATACAAATGGTATCGCCTGTAGCAACTTTCTTTTCTCCAATGTTCCTAGAGGGTTGTTTTTTCTGTGGTAAAATGCTGTTTCTAGTGCCATGTAATTAAACTTTTTTTTTGCTGCAAATTTAATTTCAAGATTTAATATGCTCACGCTATCTCACTCTCTATTTTATTGCACTGAATTTACACTGATCAACCAGCAAACTTAAAGGTGAAGACCAAAGTTCAGTGATACAGTTTCACTGTACTTAAACTAAAGTACACTGGAAGAACTTCAATAACTTTCTAATGGAGGAACAATTTTAACAGATGAATTTATTTAGCTTCTAGTTGTACTATGGAATATTTAATTGTAGGAGAAGCAGGGGATACTTTGACTTTGTGTTATGGAATGGAACAAGCAATTAATGATCGGAATGAAACTATTGTGTGTGTAATTTATTATATGATATTGCTGTTTAATTGAAATATTAAATGATGTGGAGTTCTGTAGCGTAGTCGTTAGAGCACTTGCCATGCAAGCGGAAGACCTGGGTTCAATTCCCAGCGGGGTGAAACGTTGGGCAAGTTCCTTACTCAACATGCCTCTGTTCACCGAGCAATAAGTACAAACCCGGTTGTCAGTTGATCAGCTGATCGCTTTTCCAGGGGTAATAATTCCTTCAGAAAAAACTAATAATTTGGTCATTCAAACCACATGTTTTTGGGACAATGATGTGCGCAAATGGCTGCCACGTTTCGCCCGCCAAATATATTGTCAATTCACTTTACAGTATGTTCTGTGAAGCGCTTTGAGGCATCTTGAAGACATGATAAGGCGCTATATCAAATGGAAGGATTATTATTTTTTGTATCAATGCAAGGATTATTATTATTATTGTTGAGTTTAGCTACAGGTATATAAGAAACTACAACCTTTATTTCTTTATAGTTTTGTATTAAATCAGATGCAAGTAGCATCATAAGTCTTCAATTTATTGCGCAATCCAAAACTAAAATATACCCTTGTGACTGGGGCTTCTGCCTCAACATAGTAATGATTTCCAGTTGGTGATTTATGCTGCTAATAAATCATGCCTGTATGTTGATGGGGTGGGGGTGGAGAGAGAGAAGGAATACCTAGTTTACATTCGTAACTGCATCTGAAGCAATGAAAATCCTTATTAATGAATTCACTTGAATACCATTTTATGCCTGCAACTGAAAAAGGATACACAGTATAAACAGATGACATGGTATCATAGCATTGATTTATGGAAAATAATTTCCTGTGTGATGAGGGCAACAGCCTATTACTCATTTGTTTATCAGCCAAATTCACTGCTCCCAGTTGTGTATTTGCCATACATCTATCTGTAGTGTGACTTTGTCATGAAAAGGTGTTTCAGTAAATGGAAGGTGTTGCTATTCTTCCATTCCCATAACTTTGGAAATGTCATATGTGCCAGAGATAAATACTTACTCTCTTCGGTGTCCAAGTGACAATTGAAGTTTCAAAATTCCTTCAGAATGAAGAGCATTTATTTCAGTTGAACTTATAACAACAAGAACAAAATTACATTTGTAAAGCGCCTTTCACATCGGGAGGACATCCCAAAGCACTGGAGACTTAGTCCCAAAATAGCATGAAACCAAAAGCGGGAAGGGATGCTTTTAATCCGAGGATTTTAGATTGAGAATGATAGAAAAAAGGACATGCTGTACTTTGTTTCCAACTGAGCATGAGATTTCACAGCACAGTGAGAACATTTTACAAAACACCACTTTTCTGTGGGTTCTATTAGCCAATATGAACTACAGAACAGTGCATGCATAGTATGCTGTTGCAAATTTGCCTTTGAAGCTAGTTTACTGTGAAATGCGTCAGACCAGCTGCTCTCTTTTGTTTCTTAAGGTTGAAATGTGAATGCATCTCTAGCTGGCATGAATAAAACAGATTGCATACAACCGATGAATCATATATCTGTCATATGGTTTCAGATAGCCAAGAGATAAGTCAAGCTACCGAGATGGACACTGAGACTGTCTGACACAAATTGCACTTTCCAACACACAGAAGTGCCACTGTGGCAGGAGTATGAAATCTATGTTCCAGATCAACATAAGAGGGCCAGTAATAAAGTACCCAAATTTTAGTGAATCTGACTTGTATTTGGCACTATAACAAAAGTTAATGGTGTTTCTTATCTCTTAACGGAATGGATAGGTCAGCATATTTGAAGACTATTTTCATATTGTCTACAAAAGGGAAATCCTCACTTTGGTTTATGAATTCTCACCACTTTAAACTTTACAGTAAAAGTATGCACTATTGGCTGTAAGAGAAATTCAGAGTGTTCCATTATAATGCACACCCACCACCGTGATCTTTGACGGTAATATAAATGCCTTAGTGCTGAGTCCAAGAATCTGATGAATGAATACGTAGATATTGAGTTCCCATGAGGGTGTTCTGCCAGTCCCTGGCAAGATTCCCCATTCGCAACTAAGATGTCGCTATTAGTGAATCACTCTGTGAACCTCTATTTTTTCAACCTTATTTTTATGAACCAATGATTCTTGCTGTAAGTGGAATAGCTATTCTATATTTGGTGGTGCTATACTACACATGTGGTACCAAATGTATTTTCCTGCGTCATGAATTTGATACTGGATTCATGGTGTAATATAGTAACAACATTAAAGACCTTAACTAAATATGACCTTCAATGCAGCAAATACCCTCAGTGCAGTGCAACTCATGTGACACCATGTGATATTCAGTTACCTGAGTGACATGTGTAGTTTATGTTTTGGCAGAATAACTGGAGAATAACTTTAAATAGGCTGTTCCCACTAGTGCAATCTTATTGATTTCCAGCTGACTTTGCTCTGCAATGAGGTCAGGGTGACTAACCCTATCATCACTTGTTTGAAGCTTGAGTAAAAGGGAGCTCAAGATTCATAACAAGCAAATGTGCTAACAAGACTGAACCAGGAAGACTGCAGCAAGCTGGGGTTTGGTTAACCTTTAGCATGAACAGGTGACACCAAGAGTAAAATAATGTGTTTGTTACTGGTAAGCAACTCCCACTAGGCAAGGCGTATTTGAGCTCGGGCATGTGAACTATACAACGACAACATTTAATTAGCGCCCTTCACACGAGGTAGTGTTTCGGAGCGTTTTATACATTAGCACATCCAATGTACATATCTATTAAGGGGAGCATAGAACACATTGCAGCACTTAAAGCATCTGGAACCACCTTCTAAATTAAGAGCCAATTTAAGAATTTTCCAAACTCTATTGCTTATCTTTACTGCCTTTATATTTTATTGTACATCTTTGCAAAGGGCCATCATGGAGGACAGGAACAAAGTTAAGACCATTGTCTTAAAATTTAAGATGATCAGAATTTTGGAAAATTATAAAATTAGATTTTTGAACTGTGGAAACCACCTTCTAAATTAAGAGCCAATTTAAGAAATTTCTAAAATATTGCGCAACCTTACATTTTAGATTTTAGAGAGATTTCAGGCAGCAGAAACGTACAACTGGATGCAGCAAGGGGTTTGAGCTAATGCTCGTGAAGTACAACAAATATCAGTTGGGCATGTTTTAGCAGATTATTCCAGATTTGAGAACTTTGTGCATTTATGTTATTATTTCCATGTGTATGTGCTCTTGTTGCTTGTAATCATTTTTATAATTCTGGATTATTTTTAACAGGCTAAAGATAAAGTTGAAGAAACGGGTGCAAGACCAAAGCATGGATTAACAGCAGAGGTAGTCAATCACAAAAAAGCAGAACAATTCCCAAAGGTACTGCTAAATGCTGAAAAACTTTCTGAGTAATGATAGTGGTAGATGTTATCTTACAGTAAGAGAGCGTATTTATTGTTCAACTAATTTTGCCTAACGTTTGACCTCTCTACTCAGATGGGAGTGGCTGTGAAGACACTCCATCTTATGGAAATGTCCAGAAGCTCAAAGATGAGAGTGCGATTGCAAATGATATCATTCTAATCAAAACTCAGGCAACGTATCATCATGAGAGAGAAACCTCTCATCATCAGCTCCTGGAGACTGTTGCCAAAGAGAAAGAATTGAGGCAGTCAAATGAATCTGATGGCACCAGCAGAAATGATGTCCCCACTGAAACAACAAGAGCTGAAGAGGTGCCTGGTCAAAATCAAGAATCTACGCAAAGTCAGACCGTTAAGAAAGACATCCCGCCAAAGATTGTAGAAGTCAGCCAAAGCAATGAGACAAAACAAGACCACAGCATTGCAGGAAGCCTTTGCTCTCAGAGAAAAGAGACTGAGAATATAATCCTTACAGTAATGAGTGGGGCTCCTGAGGCTATACTGGCTGCTACTCAGTCAAAGTCTGATGGAAGTTGCACGTTGCTCCTGCAGAGGTAACAGTTAAACATTAATAACTAAAAGTATTTTTTTGCATACCTTTCAGAGTTAACGTCTAGCTACTTATCCTCCAACGTTTTGTCATCAATGAATCCTGGTAAGGACAGAAAATATGTATAAACATCACGTGTAATATAATGGCTGTATTACAAAAGCCAAAAAACAAACTTAAAGAAAATAAATAACAGGCCTCGTTGTTACTGCATTATTACTTTTCAAGGTATAAAATTTACACATTCATTTACAGGTTGCTTTATGAATTGTAATGAATTTTGAAGACACTTTGCTCTTCTCCTGAAGGAGCTTGTTGGCTTGTGGTTCCATAGGAGCAGAGCTGGGCACTTTCCAGCACCTATTTTTTACACTCAAGCTTAAACAGTGAATGTCAGCAGACTATTCAAACTGATTCTTATCTTACCTGACAACTATATACACACTTCCTGATCAAGGTCACTGGATACTGATAAAGAGGAGGAACTAAGGCCGATTTCCCTTTCCCACTCCCATCTCTCGTCCAAGAATGATAAGACTCAAATGTTCTGAGATCAGATAACTCAGCACAGATGTCGAATTAAAAGTATAAGTGGATATTTCTGACTTTAGCCAGAATACGTATGAATTATTAGTAGCTGTTTTAGGCTCATGAATAAAATACTGCAGAATTCACATGCATATGGGCAATGTGTTCACTCAATAAGACAGAAGTTCTTTGTGCTTTATTTATGCTTCAATTGTTTTTGCAGGACTTCTGCCATTTCAAGTGGTGCACAAGGGATATCACTCAGTGGCACCGACAGGACCTATCCAATGGTAATCACTTCCAAGGAGTTTCACGAAGCAACACTGAAGACACTGACCACAGTGGGTGAAGGGGTGAAGGAGCTCCATAAGAAGTGCAAGGAGCAGCAACAATGCACTAGTGATGCCAAATCCAGTGCAGTGGGGAAGACAGCGAGGGAAAAGGCACCTATCGCAGCAACAGGAAAACAAGCCAAAGCTTCTCAATGCCAGCAGAAAAGGCCAACAGTTGTCAAAACACATAAAGATCAGAAAAGTGAGAAAAATACTCTGGACGTTAAACATATCACAGAGAAAGCCTGCAAATCGGGGAATGCAGCGAAAGATTCAGAAGAGCCTCAGGAAGCGATCAAAGAGCCTGAGAATATTATAGAAGTAAAGGGCTCCCCGGAAGGGGAAAGCAATTCCACAGAGATCACAAACAAAGCGAAAAGTTTAGAAGTAATTAAGGTAACAGAAGATATAATTATTGGTAAGTTGACGGGTAGTGTTCAGGAATCGTTTCCCATTTCATTCATTTAAATTTCAAGTGTAATTCAATATAATCTTATGATGTTTGGAATGTTTGAAATGTTTTTCAGATGACAGTCCATCACCTCCAGCTCCCTTCAACCATCGGATAGTGACGGCCAAGCAAGTTAATGTGGGCTCATCCTACACTGTCCACCACAATGAGCTGTTAGGAGGGTAAGTGTCTTTTGAGACCTGTCAGTCTTATAGGCAGAACTTTCTGAAGGTCAATGATTATTGAACAAGCATTTATGATCACAAGATCAGTTCGTATACAGAAAGCCCTTGATCCCAGTTGATCTCCTCTGGCTAAAATAACAATCCTACCATCTTCCCACTGTAGCATCCAGTTAGTTTCTTATATGAATCTATTGCCCTGGCCCCAACCACACTTTCTGCTACCCCTTCCACCTGTGAAAAGAAATACTTTTTGCTGTTGTTTGGTCTAAAATGTTTCTCAATACCCTTAATTTAGCATCAAGGAGTTTAATATCAACACATTTGAAAATTGGAAAAGTGTATAGTAGTTTATGAACGACGCATTGGTCAGAATCTGACAGACATGAATGTATAACCATGTGATAAACATCAGGAAGATGCCAGTTCGGAATTCTAGTCTGTGCAGTGTCAGCTTCAGGAAAGCAGAAGATAAAAAGGTTGCAACTGTCATCCAGGGCACAAAATAATGTCTGCCTTCACTTTCTGTGTGTTGAAGGCATGCACAAATCCCTTTGTGCCCTCATACCTCCCCACCTCTGTAATCTTCTCCAACCTCGATGGTCATACAGGGTTGACACCATTCTGACATTCCTTTGCCAAACCAACCATCTTCACTCTTCCGCTCTCCCCTTCTGCACAACAAAGCCAGGCCTGCTGCACCTCCCCAGCCTTGCCATTGGCAGTCGAACCTTCAGCTACCATGCTCTCATCCTCTGGAACAACCTCCCTGTGGCCCGCCGCCTCGCCCCCTCTCTATATTTAAAAAAAAGCCTAAATGAACCTTTATGAATAAAGGTGCTTATGAAACAAGTTGTTGCCCCGCTGCCAATTAATTAACTTAATTTTACCTTTGTCTGTTATTCAATAACAGGGGTCGTTTTGGCGAAGTTCATAAATGTGCGGAGACAGCAACAGGCCTAACACTTGCTGCCAAAATAGTAAAAGTGAAAAGTCTAAAGGAAAGGGTAAATGTCTTGCTTAAAATAACTTTAATGATACCACGTTGTTGTGGCTTGCCTTGTTTTGATTGACTGCCATCATCTGGGGACTGTCGTGTTGAAGACTAGGGTGACGCAGTTTCTGTAGTGATTTACAGCTTTGCTTTCTTTGCTATCTATTGGCATGTGCTTGACTTTCTTTAACCAATTCCATAGAGCAGAACTGACTGCCAGGATCCTGTTCTAAAATGAATCATGTGTGATTGTAGGCAAGCGGCTCTGAAGTGCAGTTTAACTTAGTTATCGTCCAAAGTGTCTTCTCGTGCAAAGAACGTGCATGTTAATTTGCTCCAATAACCCCTTTTGTTTTCCTAAATTTCAGTTATTATTATTTCCTTTTCCATTCTGCATCTCTCTGTGCCCTGAGAGGATGGACTGTTCTCACATCTCAGTTTTCCTGGGCTGTGTGGCTCAGAATCTGGGCTGTGTGAATATTTGACTGTTTTAGCATAAACACTGTGTGGATCTTTAATACTTCAGGTCAGTCATTATAAAAGAAACCCAGCAAGGTGAAAATTGTGTGATTTGTAACCAAAATAATCTTCATTTAGTTAAATGATTTTTTTTTAGGCAGATCTCATTCAATACTGGGCTGTTCTTACTCTCTGATTCCTTTTCTCTTTCAGGAGGAAGTAAAGAACGAGATAAATGTCATGAATCAATTAAATCATATCAACCTGATCCAACTTTATGATGCCTTTGAAGCCAAGAACAATGTCACTTTGATTATGGAGTAGTAAGTGTCATAGAAAAGTGAATGGAAATATTTAAATTTGAGATTCCCTTAGCACACCATACTGCTATCTCTTCGAATTGATTTTGTATAAATTGTTGTGGTTATTTTGAGAATAATGGAAACCCCACTCATGTCATCAAGGGTCACCCAATGGTGATTTCAGTCCTGTTGGTGAATCTTTAGCAGTTATTGAGGTACTTCCGATTGAACCCTGGTCTTAAATTACTAGCAAACTATTCACTCCTGCCTTATAATGTGTGATAGCTCAATTTAAGCAGAAGTTTTATTCAAGGTTCAGGTCAGAATGGTTCATTCAGGGCTTGCAAGTGTGCCACTTGCCCAACATCTGTGATTCTGTTAGTGCAGAATTGTAATAACCTGCAGTTGACAAGTGGAAAAATCTCGCATCCAGATACATATCACATCCGCTGTGGCTCAGAGTAGCAGTACATGGCTTGTATCCCACTCACTGAGTTCCTCACAAGTGTTGCCAGGGAAAGTGTTGAGTGGATGGCAGGTATTTTCTATAGGAGTGAATGAGTAGCTGAACTGTACAAGCCTAGTCTCAGGCACCTCCTAGTGGCTGGTTGCAGACCTCTGACCAAGTCCCTTGACTGATATTTCTTGGCCAGTGCATAACAACTGCGGAGAGGCTGTAAGGAGTATCTATTTAAAATAGAAGCAAAAATAAATAAACAATACTGGCATTTAAATGCAAAATAACATCTCCTTGCTTGTGTTTATGCAGCGTTGGTGGTGGAGAATTATTTGACCGAATCATCGATGAACACTACAACCTGACAGAATTGGATACAATAATTTTTGTGAAACAGATCTGCGAGGGAGTCTTCTATTTACATCAACAGTACGTGCTCCACTTGGATCTTAAGGTAGGTTTTGTACAGAAGGTTCCAATTCCTCGATTTATAAGTTGGCATTGGGTGGTCTTTTGTTGAATCAGCTTTGTTCTGAAGCAAAGGGCAGGATGTATTAGGCATTTCTGGGAAGAGATAATCCCTGGAATTGGGAAGGGGAAGGCAAGTTACAATAATACGAGAAAATAACCACAATATTTTTAAATATACATTAGCTAAAAAGAACCCGAGCTAAATCAATGTAATATTTGGATGGTGGTAGTCGTATTCGAAGATATTTTATGATGCAGGAACAGGCCTGTAAAATCGAGATCTGTATTTCCATGAAAATGCCTTGTTTTATATTCAACAGCCTGAAAACATTCTATGTGTAAACAATTCAGGAAATCAGATCAAAATCATCGACTTTGGTCTGGCCAGAAGGTAAGAGCAAAATCATTTTGATGTTCGCCACTATGAAGTGTATTAAAATATATCAGTATCAACCAATAGTCAAATTAAATTAAAACATTCTAAGGTCAAATGTGAAAAATACTTGTTCAAAAATAATTTGTAAAGATCTAGATTTTATAAACCAACATATGCATACTTTCCAAATTACTGATTAAATTTTTTTTGTATAACGTCTGGTGAAACCTTTAATGATTTCCAGGTGTCTGCTTCTTTGCTCCAATGTTTGAACTTCTGAAACATCCAATTCTAAAACAGTTTAGACGGAGCTATTCTCCTTTTCAACCGTTGCTGAAGCAATTGTTGTTCCTCCTTTAGGTACAAGCCGAAAGAGAAGTTGAAGGTTAATTTCGGGACTCCAGAGTTTCTTGCTCCAGAAGTGGTGAATTATGATTATGTTTCATTCCCCACTGACATGTGGAGTGTGGGAGTCATCACCTACATGTTGTACGTATCAGCCAGCCTGCTGTGTGCATTAAATTTCATTGTGGTTACAGAGAGTTGGTTGGGAGGGGGATGGAGTTTAAAAGTGGCATAACAATAACTTTTGTTTAACCATGGAGGGTGGAGAGGAGCGTTTCATTCATGAGAATTGACATACTTTTGCTTTTATCTCTTTCAGCTGCTTATATTAATCATGTTTTTTTTAACGAAGTGGTTAACAGCACCAGAAATCCTGGCTGCACATAGTGTTCTGAAACCTGAGACGTGTTACAATCCTAATGTATAGCATCACAAAGCTAGGGAATCCTGCCCATTAATATCATGCTTTCCAGCAACCAGCTGTTAGGAATTTTAAAAAGGGAGTATCTTACACTAAATTGCCCAGAGTCCTAAACATAATGAAGATAATTACATTAATTGTTACCGGTGCATTTCAGATTCTTCTTGTTGCACTGTTTTATAAAGTACTTTACTGGAGAGAGAGAGAGAGAGAGCTTGGGAGCAGTTCAATCTGTACAGAGTTCTTCTGTGCCTGTCATTATGAATAGGGAAAATAGCCAGTGGGTAACACTCTCTCGTTCCTCACACTCCACCATTCAAGAGTGTGTCAAAGGCCAGCTTCACACGGGGTGGGGGTTCTTGTGCAATAAATTTACCCTCAGGCTGTCTCTAATCAGCTGCTCAACAAGGAGTGACCAGTAAACCCGCAATTATCTGCCTTTGCAATGTTGGGAGATTACATGACAGTTGATTACAACACACTTTTAAGATTACATTGTGGAGTTCTGTTTCAATTCTGTGCAGTTTTCACACCCCACACTGTTGGTGTCTGATCTGTTTCTGGTTGAGGTGTATGTAATGATTGGCACTTTCTAACATTGATCTTTTACTGTGAACATTTTATTTTATTTTTGGATGGTGCTAAGAAGCTAATAATAATAATAATAATCCTTGCATTTGATATAGCGCTTTTCACGTCTTCTAGACGTCTCAAAGCGCTTCACAGAATATACTGTAAAGTGAATTGACTGTATATTTGTGGGCGAACGCGGCAGCCAATTGTGCACAGCAATGTCCCACAAACAGTCGTAGATTGAAAATGACCAATTTATTATTGTTTTTTGTCTTGGAGGGATTATTATTAGGCGTGTGGAGTAAGGAAACTTGCCCAAGGTTTCGCCCTCTGCCTGGAATTGAACTCAGGTCTCTCGCTTGCAAAGCGAGTGCTCTAACCACTGAGCTACAGGACTCCCTAAGTGGGGTTTGCAACCCCTGATTAAATATCAGGAGGGTGGTGTGGGGGCGGGGGGGGGAGAGAGAATACCTATTTGTGACACTTGGGGGTTTTAAGACAAGTGAAACACCAGTTCTTTGACAAATTTGCTAGGCAAATGCAGGAAACACTCAGATAGAGCTTAAAGATCTCAAGGCACTATTTGAAAGGGAAAGGAGTTTCTCCTGGTGTCCTGGATATTTTTCATGCACTGTAACCCTTTACTGTAATGACTGTAAACAGTAAACTAAATGGATAGACAACTCCAAAGGTATGCACATACAAATGATGGCTGTCTATTTTCCAGGCTTAGTGGTCTGTCCCCCTTTCTGGGCGAACATGACACTGAGACACTGAACAATATTATCAGTGGGAGCTGGGATTTCGACGCAGAAGCATTCGAAAATGTTTCCGAAGAAGCAAAAGAGTTTGTTTCAAAACTACTTATAAAAGAAAAGAGGTATGATTAACAAAGCGGAAATACTTACATTATAAATCCCTTCCCCTCCCCCTTTCTGGTCATCATATAGACACTAAGTTCACTAGGAATGAAAGGAAACTTGGGGAAAGTAAGTGAAAATCTATCAGGTCGGTATATATTCAAGAGAAAATAAACGACTTGCCCTTTCAGAATGTCTTATTTCATGAAAACAAATTACAGATGCGCTTTCTAGCTGGGGGTGATCAAGAGGTGGAACATTGGGTTATTTTTCCCTCACTTGCCATGAATACTTAAGCCTTTTGGATTATCTTTATTGTTGTCCCAGTTAAGAAGATTAGGTTAAAAACACAGATCAAACCTGGAACCATCTGAGTCTGAAAGGTTCTGTTTCCACTGTGGACAGTGAATTTAACTAACTGAGCAAATTGGGGAGGGGAAGCTGAAATTACAATATTGTTTTTATTAAAACACAGATACACGTTGATCAGATTTAATTGGTTCACACCAGGGCTGGCTATTTGTATTTGTGATGGAAAAAAACACCCTGTAGCTCATCGTCAATCTTTAAGCCATCCAGTGCTGACATCTCTTGAAAAAAACACCTTCTGAGATAGAGTCACAATTCTGCACAGGAAAATAGAGAAGAACCTGGAGACCAAGAACATTTATTTATTCAGAACATTCAGATAAATTGAGCAACTCTTTAAATGTTTGCTAAAACAAAATATGACACACAGCTTCCAAGGAACTAATTGCAAAGCTTGTGAAAACCAGCCTGCTGCTGGGATACGAGGAGAAATCATCAGGCTTAAATTACCGATTTAGGCTTAAAATGTATAATTTCCATCAATTAGATCTGCTTTCCTTTTCTTCTCTTTATGCAGAAATTGAATCCTCCTGCACAGAGCCCACAATCACATACAATCTCACATCTGTCAGTTATTTGAAGCATGTTAAAGAAAACTCTTGCCGCAGTAGATTTACAAAACAGCCTAGTCGCCAATAATTTTGGACATTTAATTTTCTGCTCCCAGACAGAAATAAATGGGTTGCTACCAGCAACATCTAATAGCTTTATTTCAGTTTATTATTGAATCCCTTTCGGGGCAAGTTCACACACAAAAAAAAACATGTTGCAGAATAGAAGGGTTTGGGCAGTGTCTGCAGATGTGATTTACTCTGTTCCTTATGCATACTGTAATCATTGGCAAGCCAGGAAATCATTTTGCCTCTTTCCATATGAAAGGCAAGATGCATGTCTTTTTTATAAGCTGCAAAGGTCTCTCAAACCCTGGTATATTTCAAAGCAGAGTGTCTTGCTTGTGAGAAGAACCTCAGGCTTTATAACTGCAGCATAAATTCTTCAGACAATCTTTAGTAAGCACTTATGTGGGCAAAGAGGATCCATAATAGCAGAAGTGGTCTGACTCAACACAAGTTGCATTTAGGGAAGATTAAGGCAATGTTTGTGAAACAATAACATAAGTATTATTTACTCATAATTGAGTTCAATGCAAATCACTTTAAACACTGTAAAACTGGAGCCTCTCCCCATAGTTTTAAATGGTGCACTTTTTCATCATTGGCTACAGTGTACACTTAAGAGACTAAAAATATAAGCATTCTTTGAAGTGCTCGAATCTTTTGGAAATTATTTTGAATCAGGAAGTTTTCCCCGACTGAAATGAAAAAGTATTTTCCTGATAACTTGTTATTTGAGCTGGGTTCAAAGTACTTTGACTCAAAGAAAAACTTTGAAAGGATTAAAACTTTTTATTTCCAGAGGTAATGTTGCACTAGTTTCTTTTTTTGCTGACATCTGATTGAACCCATTTTTGTACATTGAGACCATAGGAATCAACACAAAATACTGTATGACATTTCCTATAGGTCAGCACACCTATATACTCTGTTTAGTATAGGTTTAGTATAAGTTGATTATCAATATGCTATCATTGACACTAGTTGTTGCTGTAACATGAGACATTAAATTCAATTCATGTTTACAATGAACGCTGTAATATTTGGAAAGTAGAACTGGTTGATCTAATTCTGCTGTGTTGTGTGCAAGGGCTGCAAAAAATAAGGCACATTTAAAGGAAAATGTGCTCTAAGATGCTACCCTTTGTGAATGGCGCTATATAAATGCAAGTTGTTGTTGAACATGACTCTCATTGCTGCACATGCAACTGAACCAACTGCCATAGGCATGCATGGGAGAATTTATACCATGTCTTCACTAGTAATTGAAGGTCTCAGTGTGTTGGTTCAGCTGCTTAATGTGCTGTACTATCATACTCCTTGCCCCACTACTCGCCGACATCATTAACCTCTCCCTGTCATCTGGCACTGTTCCTTCCCCCTCAAAACAGCCACTATCACCCCCATCTTGAAGAAACCTTTCCTTGACCCATCAGCTATCCAGCTACCAGCCCATCTCAAATCTCCCCTTCCAATCCAAGGTCCTTGAGAGAGCCGTTTCCTTCCAGCTTTGCTCTTTCCTCTCCTCTCACTCCCTCCATGAGCCCCTCCAATTGGGTTTCCATGCTGCCCGCAGCATTCGTCACATCAAGGCTCGAATACGGGAACTCCCTCCTCATCAGCCTTCCCAACTCTTCCCTTCACAAGCTGCAGATCATCCAAAACTCTGCAGCTCGTGTACTCTCGTGCACCAGGCTCCGTGACCCCATCACTCCCACCCTCGCCCGACTCCACTGGCTCCCCATCCCCCAGAGGATTGAGTTCCAGATCCTCGACCTCACCTTTAAGGCCATCCATGGCCTCGCCCCCTCCTACCTCTCTGACCTGCTGACTCCCTACCAATCTACCCGCTCCCTCCGTTCAGCGGGCTTAGGCCTGCTCCACGTCTCCCGCCCACCTGCTCTACCATCGGTGGCCGGGCTTTTAGCCTCTCTGCCTCCACACTCTGGAGCTCCATCCCACGGTCCCTTCGCCTCGCTTCCTCCCTTGCCTCCTTCAAGGCCGGTCTGAAGACCCTTCTCTTCGACCGTGCCTTCCATTATTTCCCCTTGCACGGGATTAATGCCTCAGTCACCGGATTTCTAACTTTACTGCTTAACTGCACCAATGCTCCTGGTGATAGCCAAATTTCAAAATTCTGTATCGATCTTCCATTAAACCTTTACAGTTTTGTGATTGAAAAGACTAAATTATTTGATGACAGCAGAGAAGGTGGCAATTCAACTCATCGAGGCTGTGCTAGTGCTATCTCCTCCACTGAAGATAAATCATCTAATCCCAATATCCTGCTGTTTCCCAGTACCCTTTTATATTGTTTCTAAGAAAGGCAGAGGTCAGGTAGGTTTGTGATTAGATCCCTAGGTGTAGTATCTACAACAATCAGTGTATTCATTATTACGCTTGTCAAGGAAAGAGCAAAAACTGACTTACTTCACCAGTAGCTCTCTTGACTGCCCCTGGAGACACTTTTTGTGGAGAGAAGGTCATACACATCTCGATCAAAGGTGTTGTGAATAAAAATGGAAAATGTTATTGAAAAATGTTGACTTATATTTCATTCTTTATGATGTCTTACATTGCAAAACATCCAGTGCGTGTTTGGGTGGAAAAATGATAAGAGTATTTTTTTTAAATTCACTGACAGTGCGAGGAGCAGCGCCGCTCAGTGTCTGAAACACTCCTGGCTCAACAACCTACAAGAAAAGGCAAAGAACTGCAGGGTTCGTCTCAAATCTCAGGTGTTGCTGCAGAAGTACATTGCACAGCGCATGTGGAGGGTAAGACGCTGTTTTATTTCTCACAACGGATCATTTTGATCTAATTCATTCCCATGAGACATGCAAGTATGTGAAATGCGAATGCAACCTCAGTCTCCAGCACTTGCATTGGAACGCCATCCTAGATTATGTGTTCAAAGTCCTGACTCGGGGCTCGAACCCATAACATTTGTTAGCAAACTAAACTTTACAATCGACTGTCCTTTTGTTTGCAGAAAAACTTTTACGCCATTGCGGCAGCAAACAGGTTCAGAAAGTTCCACGAGAAAACACCAACCAGCCCTATTTAGGTTGTAACTGGGAGAGATGCACAGAAGAAATGGAGCAAAGAAACAATTGGAAAAACTCAGCTTATCATCACCATGAAGAGATGAACCTCAATGACTTTACTCCATTCTGCTGTTACTTGCGTCCAAATCCTGCACTTTAATAATTTTGATACTACTGTATCGTTCTTAATTCTCCTGTCAAAATGATTTGGCATTGACAATCCCACCCCTTAGCTGCAGAAAGGCTTCAAAGTGTTTACTGTTAACAGATAAGCTAATCAATTTAAACTAAAGGGCAAGGCTAATAGTACTGCCTTTGCCATTCTTGTTAATAGCATTGTAGTCAGTCTCTTTGAGGATATTCCTTCAATCTTTACGCAGATTGAAATTTGAGCATTATGTAAAATGAACCTTTTAGAGGTACAGGATTTGGAAGATTGTGTTCCAGAAATCATTGTTTTATCCGCCTGAAAGCTTTTTATGCTAAAACAAACAGCAAGAGATTTAGCAAATGGTGTGGAATGAGCATGAAATCCCTTGAGGAATTGAGTGTTAGGATTAAGTCTAAGAAACCTAATCCTGCATTGACTTTACCAGGTGTGTTCCTACATTTTAAACATTAATCTATAAATGTTACTGTTGTTAAAAACTATAGTGAGTCTTACGCTGACAACCAAGATATGTTTACTGTGAATGTCACAGCTACTGTCAAACACTTTGCTTAGAAATCCTTTTGTACTGCAACCTCAGGGTAGTAAACTTTTATAGGCTATTTTTCTCTTGCATTTAGACGTTTAGCTGCTAATTCCACAACCTAAAAACATTTCAGCAAAATTGCAATTGATATAGCGGCTTATCAAGTCTTCGAGACGTCTCAAAGCCCTTCACAGAATATACTGTAAAGTGAATTGTCTGTATATTTCGTGGCAGCCAATTGCGCATAGCAGCGTCCCATGAAATCGACAGGAAAGCAAGCACTTGAGTTTAGTTTGGTGATGTGATCAGAATATTGTAAGATCAGGCATATGTTTGTCAAAAAAAATACATAGGGTGGAATCAATTGCCTGATGTTTTGAGTCTCTCTGATTCCTGGCTGCTACTGGGTTTCACTGTAGACAGATTCCGAATAAGTGAAATGGAAACTCCATCCAGCTCCTGTTTTACTGCTTACACCAACCGTGGGCATTTCAGATGTTAAAATATTTCAAATCAGGCGTAAAAGAAACAACAACAAATTGCATTTAAATAGCGCCTTTCAAATCAGGAGGAAGTCCCACTCCCTCAATTGGTAAATTTTACCCTAATCTTATTCTAAAAAAAATCTGTATTATAGGTAGCATATTAATATAGAAAGTATTGTAAATGTCATGACATTGTGATATTGAGGCTTTCAGCATTATTTAACTCGAGGTGAAAGAGCACTGGAGCTGTAGGAAAATATAGCGCTAATCTTATTTAATTCCTCATTAAGGTATTTTCCCCAGTGTTAGGAGCCTATTCGATAATAACAAGAGTTTGGTGTTAATTCAATGTTTATTTTATCGGCAGATATGCATAGGTCTGTGACACCTTTGGTTTTAGAAGCACAATTTTGGTTTGGAAATGATCCCCATTAAATGCCAACCATTGACAACTCCATATAAGCGATATTACTGATGGATAAAAGGAAATGAAGTTGCATGTTAATTATTTGCATTTGTTATAGCGCTTTTCAGGAGGATGTCTCAAAACGCTTCAGGATTCACTGTAAAGTGTCGTGACTGTGCATGTTTTTTTTAGGTAAATGCATCAGCAAGTTCACACACAGCAATGTCCCATAGTCATAAAATTATTAGAGGATCTGAAATAAAAACACCTTCCATAATTAAACTGATAGAAAAATTGCAAGTACCGGATAACGGATGAGACTTTGACAAAGTTTTTTCTTAATAGTCTCTACAGATCTGCCTTCTTTTGCACGTGGAAGAACACTTTTACCCCCAAAGACTTAAAATAATAAATTTTAAATTAACATTGTGATTTTTATTTTGAGATGGTGTAATCTTGACTGAGAAATGGGACCCAGTCTTGATACCCAGTGTCAAGTGTTAACTATCCCTGGTTCAATATAACTGAGCCGGTTTCAGAACAAGACTTCCTCCTACTTCAATATGAAGGCCTTTTTTTAAAAATGACACTGCACAAAACTATGGGACCGTTTTGCTACTGTTTGCTGGAAGATCCATCCATTGGTACGTTCACTGATGGCATAGGCTTTGAACTTTCACACCAGATTGTATCAGACTTGGAATTTATAATAGGATAAACTCTGTCTCGATCTGTGACTTGCACTTCCCCAGGGTTTCAAGATTGTGATATCTATTGCCTCCCTCAGTTTCCCTGCCTCCAATTATTTACATTCTTGAACGTAAACTCAGCCTCAACTCACTGCATCCTGAACCAGAATCATACAGCAGCACTTAGCCCACTGAAATCTGAGCATTTTTATCTCCATTCAACCTCTCCATGCCCTTTCACATTGTTTTTCAAGTCTCTAACAGATTTCCTCATAAAATAATTTAAAATTTACTTTCATTTCCTTTCCTCTTGTCACCAAAAATTTCGATTTCGAAAAAAGTACCAATCCGAACATTTCCAGACAGAATTCAGCAGCTGCTTTTTTTAAAACAAAATCCGCATTTTTATAAAGATAAAGTTTGTATACACAGAAATAAAAGTGCTTAGCTACATCAATGTTTAATGAACTCAGCTTTTTTTTTAAAGAAACATTGTAAAAGATTCATATATTATATGATTTGACTTTGGCAATTAAAAATGTGAATTGCATGAAACTGATGAATTGTTACTGAACATGGATCGTTGGAATGTTCTGTCTTTGTTTCCAGTTATCACTAACTATACAGGTTCTTGATGATGGCAGAACAAATATCAGCACGCAAGACCTTCTGTGAAGGCAGATTTGAGTCCTGAGAACATTTGAGATTTGCTTTATTGGTAAACGTGTGCTGGCATGTCATTTTGATGTTATAATGATTACCTCACTTTAAACTCTCGCCAAGATATATTAACAAATAAAGCATATTGCGCACACTGAGCAGAGTTGTGTTAATTTAATAGACTAAAAAGTGGCTATTTTTTCAGTCACATTTTACTTAAAAACTAGTCAATGCTTCAAAAGTAAATTCTATTGTGATTCATAGTGGTGTGACAGGCGTTATGTTGTTTTAATTGTACAAGAGCTAATGGGGTAAAGTTTGTGGTGTTAAATGTGTTAATTTAAATGTGTACAAAGGCAAATGACTGACGATCAAGCCTGCATTTATCTCGAGATTGCAATGATGTATGAAGTAGGGAGCTAGTGTACGCTGTACTCTGTAACAAACAGGATCCCTGGGAAAAGTCACCTCCTCACATCAAACAAACTGTTAACCAATTTTTGAGTGTGCGTCTGAGTACCAAGACTTGTGAGTGGAAGCAGAGGGAAGGCTACAAATGGACAAGATTCTGTTTCCCAACTAAGACCTGCCTGAAGTTGGTGTTGTGGTCAGTGCTGGACAACCAAAGACTATGAAACTACATTAACATACAGTGAATAAATCTTAGACACCAGTTCCTTTCATGGTCAACACTGCATATGTTCAGCAGCAGGCCCACCTCAGCGCTGGCACATCACTCTCTGCCTTCACTTCCTAACTGAGCCTTCATAGTTTTTAAAAAGACAATTAAACTGGAAACAGAATTAAACATGTTTATTGTTTAAAAACATACTCCAGATTTTAAAAAAATTACCTTAAAATATCAGTTTAACCACTCCTCAAAATTAATTAATAAATAATAAAAATAACAGGTTACTTGAAAGGTGAGTTTTTTTTAAAACTGAAGAACGTAAAATGTTGCCAAACACTCTAGCATGATTTTGAAATCAAAACACAGAAAGCTCTTGAGAATTTTCACGCCTGGCGTGTTGTTCCTTGCATGCAAGTGTCTTCTCACCCCTTCACTGGGATATGGGAGAGGATCAAGCCCCTGGAGTAATTGCAATTGATTTGAAGTTCTTTTTAAATTAGGTTCGAATCTCAGCTGTCTACATGTCTTAATTCAGGCTGTGACACTGGTATTGATTGCAATGCTCAGAGTTGGAGTGTCGATGTCAGGAGTATTGAGTACACAGTCAGCCAAAATTGAAAATCTAATCTCACCATAAATCTACGTTCCAATTGGCACATCGTTTGAATTTTCAATACTCTCCACCCAAAAAAATAAGTTATGGATCACATAACTGTGGATCGAGCTCTGTCACACAAAGGATCAACTCAGATTGCCTGCTAAGAATCCATCTTCTTCGCCGCATTTTCTAAAATCCGCCTCTTCCACTCCTTGTAATCCTCTTTCTTTGCTGCATTAGATTCAGCATTTTCCTGTTTAGGCTCCATTGCATTAATTTCTGTTAATTAAATATTACAACATTTACTTCTCAAGAGCGACATTATCACACTCAATAGCACTCAGTGATGCCCGCGTTTTCCAGCAGATGTATCATTCTACAATTGTAATGTGAAATCCAGTTATAAGCAATGGAGTTTGCTAAGATTAACAGTATGCGTTAGACTTGAGGGTCTTTGAGCCACTGATTGAATCTCAGGATTCAGAGAATAAATATTCGTCTCTTGGGTGAATGTGAATCAAATGCTTCCACGAAAACTCTTCAGTCCCTCCCGTTGGTGACCTTTCATTTCTTTGTACTTTGTATTTCTTTGTACTCTGTCTGGCGCCTTGGGACATCCTCCCGACGTGAAAGGCGCTATACAAATGTAATCTTGTTGTTGTTGTTTCCTCATGGGTAAACCTAGCTAAAACCAATCATTTCCTCACTTGATAATCGCTCACACACACAACTTGCAGCATCACCGGACAGTGATTATTTCTAATTAGTAATATAAGTAATCCTTGCATTTGATTATAGTGCCTTTTCACGTCTTCAAGACTTCTCAAAGTGCTTCACAGAATATACTGTAAAGTGAATTGACTATGTTTTGTGGGAAAAACGTGGCATCCAATTGCACACAGCAGTGTCCCACAAACAGTTGTGGATTGAGTGACCAAATTATTATTATTATTATTTGTTGAAGGAATTATTACCCCTAATTCTCCCAGGATTGTTAATAGACTGAAAATTGAACTTGGGACTTTCCTGGTTGAGATGGAAATACCACACCATATATTAAATGCTGCTAAAAAGTAAATTTGCATAAGCGTCCCAAAAAAACAGCCACATAAGATCATACCTTCCTTCTTTTCTAACTCCTCCAGTAGGCTCCTCTGCCTCTTATTTGGATTTGATTGTCCAGCAGATTCTTCTTTATAAACAGATTAAACAAAAATACCAGTTATTTGACATCTTTAAGCCACTGCTCACGTTTAAACTAAGAACAGACGAAGGAGGACTTACTGCAGCTCAGTTGTCCAAACTTTTCCATCTGGGAGCAGAGTCTGTCAAAAATAATCTTCTTCACACCAGATGTCACCATCAGCTTGTTCTTATCAACTTTTATTTTCATGCACCTGAAAGGCATCAAGTCATACTTCAGTATCGATGATGATATAGCCACATACGTTAACACTCATGTCCTAAGAAAAAGCTTTACATCATCAGAGACTGTGTCACAAGTTTCAGTCAGCAACCTCATTCATCAATTATAACAATATAGGACTTTTGAGGGTGTAAGTTACCGTCAACTAGGAGCTCTTTGGATTGTGGCTCAGTTTTTAATGCTGAAGGTAGACCAGTCTTCCTCAGCCTCTGAATGAAATTTTAATTCTTTACATATAATCAAATAGACTAAAGAAGAGCTTATTCCTTTGTGACCACATATTTTCAGTAGCCAAATGATCTCCTACATTGGGAGATAGTCAAGTACTATGACTCTCCATTCAGACAACAAACAGAACCATTACCGTCAAAACACACAATAAAACCATTAATCTCTGCAACAGACAACAGTCACTGGAAAAGTCGAGAAATGCAAATAGCAGACAATGTTTATCCGATCCAGTTACTCACTTGCAAGCTGTGAATAGTGCTGCAGTTGTGAACAGTGGCTTGGAGAAATCGAGGTCGCCCTGCTGTGCTTCTGACAGACTGGCTTCATATCTGAGGGAACAACATGTAATATAAAGGATTCTTCAGATGATCAAACTTTATAAGGAACTGTTTAACAAGCAAATACATGCACAATTGTGTCCATTCAAGATCCAGTACTACAAGAGACTATAAAATATTCACAACTGCCATTAAATGTAAGGAATAATTCATTTATTAGATTGTTGTATGATCATTGATGGCATCTGTAATACTCAGAAACACATTTGTTCATTGCAAGCTCTACCCAGGATTTGCCATTGGACTAGTAATGTCACTGAACTGACAATAAGCTTAAGCACTCCAAGACACTACCCTGCATGAAAAGCACTATATAAATCCAAGTTGTTGTTCTTTTAATATCACTCAGAAAGACAAGGATAGCTGGTCTGGCATGTGGATGATTTTTGTCATTGCTGTGTGTGTGTATATAAGGTGTGCAGATGCTCCTCTGCTATTCCAGCTTATATACTTCTCTGTAATGGTTAAGGTTCCCTGGGAATAACTTGTGAGGTTTGGAATAATAGTCAATAGAAACAGATGATTGATACATCTTCCCCCTTCCAATACTGCCTCGATGAGGAAGCATCAGTGTCCAGTTTATTCAGGTGGTCACACTTAACACCAGTTCGTGTTAGGAAATTTCTGAAATGTTTGGAAAAGCTGGAGACCTACCTCTGAAGAATATTAACTGTTGCTTCCACTGCCTCCATACAGCCGTGCAGAACTGCAAGGTCTCGAATTCCTAGCTGAGAGTCCAGGCCAAGCATGGATTCCAAGGCTTTCAGATGGCTCTGATAAACCTTCTTGTTTAATCCAGACAATTTCACAACAAATTCCTAGGAAGAATTTGAAAAGGTTAACTTAATCAAAAAACATTTCTCACGACAGACATTGCGTGTAGTTTAATCATTACCCTATACAATTTTTTTAAAAAGAAAATTGGAAGCAACTTTTATTTACAGGCTGGTTGTAAATTCAATCTTAAAACACATTTTTCTCCTACCCCAGACAACAAAACGATATGGCATTGGACATGCCCGCATTAATCTCCTGTGCAGGTCTACTGAAGTAACACTCCGACAAACAAACCTTTTATTTAATTTACACTGCATTCTGCCAGTTAAAAACAGTCAGCAACTAATTTATAATTGAGCCATTTCATTCAGCTAAAAAATGTTCTTTGATTACACCTTGTGTGCTGATGATGTGGACCAGAAAGGGCTCTGTGAAGACTAACTGTTAGTGTACGAGACTTGTGGGCAAGAAAAGAGGGCAGGAGACCTTGAAACGCTTCTCAACAACAATGATTTACATTTATATGACTCTTTTCACATCGGGAGGGCATCTCAAAGCACTGCATCTGACTAGTTACAAAGTAGTCACTTTAATTGTTTGATGTAAAGTGATGTTCCTTCCACCAGCAGAGCAAGAAATATGATTTATACTTCCCATGCCTTAGTTACACGTGTACACACAAGCCCTTCCCTGGCTCCAGCATGATTTGCTTTAGATTATCCATCACATTTACCTACATAACACTCACGATACCTGGTACTTTGAGATGTTCTGACACGAGAAGGTACTTTATTGAATTTAAAGTATTATTACAAAACTCCCTGGAGAGTTATGGTAGAACTTCGGTAGAACTTGTGATGTTAAATAGCTTTGCAGCACTTATACTTACTTTGTCAATTGGGTGTTTCAGTGAAGATGCTGCAAGATCAAGACACATCACTGCATAGCTGGTTGCTGTTATGTGTGTAGAAAAGCCTGTACATTTTACTTCTGATAAGCGTAGATATTCCTCTGCTTTTCTGAAATGTAAGGCAACAACATCAAACCTAAGAACTTCTTACAGCAAGATCAGGTCTGCAACCTATTTGAAACTTTAAAGTGTTTCTGCATCAAATGATTAACTGTAGGGTTAATGATAGAATTATCAGAGAGCAAGAAAAAAATTGCACGGATCAGCGATAAAAATAAGACTAATCCTTGTATTTGATATAATGCATTTCCCATCAGGAGGACAATTCAGAGCACATGGCATGATTTACTGTAAAGTGTCGTGTCTGTTGTGCTGGTATCAGTCCAAATTAAAAGCAAATTAAACGTCCCCTTTTCTTCTATTCCATACGTATATAGAAGCCTTTTTGGGGGTTGCAAAGCGTACGTAAGTCAACACTGAGCAATGCACCTCAAATTTATTTTGCAACCACCCTTGCGAGGATTATTCTTTTCATATGGGAAGGAGGAGGGATGAAAACCAGCGGCTTTCAATCCACTAAACTGATCGTCACGCTCTGGGGTCCCCAAGCCTTGGCTCTCGCCAACCTGCGCCTAACACTTCCCGGAATTAGGTCAGCGGGGTGCGTCCCGCCCCCGCCCCGCCCCGCCCCGGGGAGCATTCCGTACCTCCAAACGCCTCCGGAGGCGGGAGGCGTGGAACCCTGGGCCCGGTTTGGATGTGTTTGGTTTCGAGCGCTCCGGGACGCTTCCCCGGGTTAAAGGGCGCAGCGCGTGTGAGTGCAAGTTGCTGCTGCTGTTGTTGTTGTTGTTGGATGCACTCCCTTCAGCAATGGCGACGGGTTTAACCCGCGTGGGTCAGACACCCCTCTGCCCCCTCGGGCACGTTTGATCCTTGGTTTCTGTCCCTTGAGGGCCCACAGCAGGAATCCAACCCGACAACAGGCAAACAGGTGCCACAGGGCCGCACTCACCTGGTGACAGTCCTGGAAGCGATGCCCAGTTTAGGAGCCAATCTGCCCACCACCTGCACCTCCATCTGCAGCTGTCGCTCTCGACCCCCTTGACTTCCGCTCCGAACTTCCCGCGCTGGCTCGGCGGTCCCGCCCTCCATCGCCGCAGCATCCAATAGGCACCCGGCGCTCGGTCCTCGCCGCCCGTGGTTTGGCTCCGGCCAACGTCGATCAGCGTGACGTCAGGGCGGAGGGCGGGGCGGGTGGGACGGCTGGAGAACTGTCCCGATTCGGAATGACTGACGAGGATCATCCCGCCTCCTCCACCTCCTCCTGTGATTGGTGACCCGTGCGACGCGACGAAGAGCCAGGCGGCTTGTAAGTGGTCGGTTCCTGCTGTCGATCATCGGAAGGCGGGTGTGTGAGTGGTCAGCTTGGCCTGTCCATCGGCGCGGAGGCGGGACCACCGCCACGGGAGCAGCCAATCGCCCGGCCTCTTGCTGCCGAAGTCGGGTAGTGAGAGAGAGAGAGAGACTGAGACGCGAGCGCTGCTGCGGGCGGGCGGTGGTTTGGTGTCAGGTGATCAGGAGCCGTGTCTGTCTGGAGAAGTCACACACACACACACACAGAGAGAGAGCGAGAGAGGGAGAGAGTCGCGGAATCATGGTAAGTGATTAGCGTCGATAACCCGGGCTTCCCCCTACACCTCCTCGACTCGGCCTGGCCGCGGGGGCAACAACCACCTCACCCCCCGCCCCCACCAACACACACAGCCCCGCCGCTGTGCGCTTGAGGGTGGGTGGGTGGGGGGGGGGTTGTAGGGACATGGGCGTTGCTAGGCCCGGCCTCGGCCTCGGCCTCCTTCGTTGCTGCAGCCTGCGAGGCAGGGCTCGCTTTGGGATTGACAGTGGCGGGATAAGGGCCTACTCACCCACCCGCCCGCCCCGCGCGAGGAGGAGTGGAGGTGAAGGGACGCGGCCCCGCGCGCTTCTTGAGCGGGAGAGGAGGCCCCGGGGTGGGTGGGACTGCCTGAGCCTGAGCCTGAGGTGGCTCTTTTTTTTAAAAAAAAATCCATCAAAAATCTATACACACACACACACACACACATATGTATATATATATTATATAAAAAAAATCATTGGAGTTCAGTTTGAAGTGGTCGGTGGGTGGGGGGAGAGGGGGGGAAAAAAAACCCCGATCGGGTCGGTCTCGGAACAGGAACTGAAGCCGCCGCAGGTCCTCCGTCAACGGCGATCCCTCTCTCCTTAAAATGTTACGACATCCGAGTTAAATCGGTTGCTGTGAGCCCCAAAGCCCCTCTTCTTCTCCTCCCCCACCCCACCCCCCCCCGCAAAAAAAAATAGCCCCCCTCCCCCCACCACTCCCCCCCCCCCCACCACTCCCCCCCCCCACCACCACTCCCCCCACCCCCACCACCACCACTCCCCCTCCCCACCACCACCACTCCCCCCCCTCCCCACCACCACCACTCCCTCCCCCCCCCACCACCACTCCCCCCACCACCACCACTCCCCCCAACAAACTCATACAAACTCAACCGAGCTCATCCAGCATTTTGTGTGGCTTATGGTTGTGACACTGGTGTGTCAGCCTGGGGGGCCCCTCTGTGCGGCGGTGGCGGCAGGTTTTTGGGGGGGGTTCATGCCCCGTCCACGTCAGGGGGGCTCGCGGTGGCACGGTCTTCAGCTGGCGGTCCCCATGCAGTGCTGGGGAACGTGCTGCACTTGACCCAGGTGCAGCCCTCGACCGGCGGGCGAGACCTCAAGACGAGACGTTAAGGATCCCGTGGCAGCGTTCGAAAAGAGAAGGGAGTTTCTCCAGTGTCCTGCTCAACAATCCCCCACCCCCCCACTAAAATTTGGTCATTAATAATAATAATAATCCTTGCATTTGATATAGCGCTTTTCGCGTCTTCTTCAGACACGGTTGGAGTGGGACTGTGTTGTTATCAATTGGTTGCCATGTTTTGCTCAAAATACAGTTAATCCACTTTACAGGATATACTGTGAAGCCCTTTGAGATGTCTTGACGAATGTGATAAGGCACTATATCAAATACAAGGACTAGGATTATTAGGGTTGACCTCAAACTGTAACTCCTAAGGTTGGTTGCTGTTATTAGTTTCCCATTTGACCCAAACAGTTATCAATAATTTAACTTGATGTCAAGTTAAACACACGCAAACATCAATTTGAGTGTTAACAAGGCCTTTCACAAATCAGATTGTCATTTTTTAAATGATTATTTAAGTTTTTGTTTTAATATTGCTTTAGGTTAGAACAATGTTATGCAGCTTGTTTCAAATGAAATAGCATGGTAGAGAATGATTGCAGGGACATTTCTCAGATTCAGATGACCAGCAGTTGAAAACTTGGCTTTAAATAAATTATCTTCCACATTGCTCAGTTGAATTTCAGTACTAATTACAAAACTATTGTCGACCTGTATTTAGCAGCCATCATCTTCTTTTGTTGTAGAATTATTAAGTGCACTAACTCACAACATTTTTGTTAAAATAAACTGCATTCTTCAATCCAGGTATAAAGTTTGCCAATTTCAGCTGAGGCGTTACAAACCGCATCTTGCGTTAGGCAACAGATTATAAAACAGGTCCCTACTTCCGCAATAAAGCTGGCTTTATTAAATTGAACCTTGTAAGTGACAAACTAATGTAGAGTTAATTGAATAAATCTTTGCATTTGAAGTTAGGTTAGAATATGTTTGGTGGGTTCATCTGCATACCACACCAAGATCTGTATAAAACTTAGTAACCTTGTTTTTGCAAGTTATAGATTGTTTTTGTTTTAATAATCAGATTTAACTTGTAAAATATTTCAATATTTTCATTTGATATAGCGCCTATGACATTGGACACCTCAAAGTGCTTCACAAAACATGTAAATTGTAGTGACTGAAGCTCTTTGTATTTAGTTTTGCTACAGTATCTAAGCAAAACCAGAATTTCAAAATTTTAAAATTTTATTTAAAAAAACCCACTTCATTAAACAAGAGTTCTTGAACCAGCTGCACTCCCACAGTGATTGATCTGTTGCTGAATTTACAAATCTGTCTGAGAAACCATATTTAAATGAAATAAGTCACAATCATCCACTATAATCCTTTCCTGACAGATGTGTACTTTCCAGCAATTTTGAAGGAGGGTTTTTAGGACATAATCACTGTAGTGCTCTGAAGTAGGGTTCTGCTTTATAATCTGCTCCCTAACACAAGATGGTGAATGTAAACCTCAGCTGAAATTGACAAACTCTGGAATGACCTTATTTATAACAACAACAAGATTGCGGGAGGACGTCCCAAGGCGCTGGACAGTTGGGTCGGGGCGATCGTGGAGATGCATAATTGTTTTAATCTTATGAATATATCAGTTAATTTGTGGCAGCAAAGGTAACTTCAGTAGCTTCCTAAAGATGACTCCTATTGTATTACGTGTTTCTACCAACGATTGGAATACCCTTGTAATTCTTTGAGGGAGAGGATTCCTTTCTCTAAAAAAAAATCTTAGGATGTAGGAATTATTAGCTGTGCACCCTGAACTTTTATGAATGCAAACATTTGGCTGTTCTGAAGGTGTTTGAATGGAGGTTGACATAAGCCAAGGCTGAAGGGCACTCTGCTTCCCAATTATCCAGAGCCCAGCAACAACTTACATTTATATAGCGCCCATCACACTCAAGCCCATCCATTTTAGTGAAACTATTTTCTTCTGGACAATTTTCTTATGAACTAAGGATTTAAAGGTGATAGGTAATTGCCTTGAGCAAATGATTCCCTTCTCAGAATCCTTCCCATTTCAATTAACCAAAACTGAACTTTGTTTGTATTAAAAGGGAAGTAGAATCTACTGAGTTGACTCATAATTTAAAATATTATAAGGGGATATTGACCTCTGCTACCAGTGTGCCGTGATTATTGATTGTTTAGTCTAATGCTGTTCTAAAGCTGTTGTCAGCATTAGGATTGTTTTGAAATAATGTGAGAGATTTGTGGATACTTAACTGTCCAATTTGTGGATACTTATTCCGTCTCCCTTACTTGCAAAAGATTGAGGAATGTTGGTCAGAAACCACTATTCCCTTTTAATAATAATAATAATAATCCTTGCATTTGATATAGCGCTTTTCACGTCGGGAGGACGTCCCAAAGCGCTTCACAGAACACACTGTAAAATGAATTGACTGTATATTTGTGGGCGAACGCGGCAGCCAATTGCGCACAGCAATGTCCCACAAACATTCGTAGATTGAAAATGACCAATTTATTATTGTTTTTGGTTTTGGAGGGATTATTATTAGGCTCTGTGTGGAGTAAGGAAACTTGCCCAAGGTTTCGCCCTCTGCCTGGAATTGAACTCGGGTCTCTCGCTTGCAAAGCGAGTGCTCTAACCACTGAGCTACAGAACTCCACTCTTTTGTATCCAGATAGAGAAAGCAGGATAGTAAGAAGCCACTAAAACACTTTGGGAAATCAGGTGTCTTCTTTTGTAGCATACAATTTTATATAACAGCTAAGTGGAACACAATTCTATTTTAACATCTAACTGAAGCAGTGAGCTCTGATCAGAAATGGGTAAGCCTTTTCCTGAACAATGTGGTGATGGTGGTGTATGGCACCATTTCTGACATGTGAATTTGTGCCCATTTGGGCATCGAGACCAATATGAAAGGTCAAGTAATTCTGTATAAGTAATTTGTTGTGTAAATCTTAAGAGTCCATTGTGTCTTTATAGAAAACCTAAGTGACTTTCCTGGCCAATCTATACAGAAATGTGTTGCTTTGCAGTTCATGAATTCACAGTAAAATACAATTTGCTTTTTATTTACAGCCTACAACTCAACAGTCCCCTCAGGATGAGCAGGAAAAGCTTCTTGATGAAGCAGTTCAGACTGTAAAGGTTCAGTCTTTCCAAATGAAGCGATGCTTGGTAAGAGGCTTAAAGTTTAAACTAAGTCAAATATTGTATAAAGAAATTTGTTACCCATGTTGCTAAAGTTCATAGGTTAATGTGAAAACTTCTTGTGTAGATCACAAGAATGAAATATCTGGTTATTGTGTTGCTTCAGTGCATACCTACTGTTTCACGTGAATGCAATATGGTTTTCTAGGAGATTTTGACATAATTTGGAGCCCTGGTGAATTACTCAACAAGGGGATAGACATGTTTTTATACCCATAATGATCCATGAGGTGAATTCCTATAGGAGTTGTTTCAGGTACTCAAAACACCTTCAACAAGTGACTTCAGATTAGCATAGATGTATGTTGGCTTTAAGGCTTTTGTATTGTGTACGGGTGGAAGGCAGAAATTGTCTTTTTTAAAAAAAAATCTTCTGCCTCTTCTCAAACAGCATGAAATCTTAGTACATGGTCCTCCATTTAGTTGTTTCTTTGCATATTGAATTGGTTGGTTCTTAAAGGTACCATAATTTGTCATTATCATACTAAAGGGCAGATTTTGTAAATGTGTCAGTCAGCCGTCCATCTTGGTCTCTTTCTCAAAAGTATGCACAAGAAGTTTATTTTTCTTTCCCTCCCCTAATCTGTAAGATGTACACAAAATAAGTAACAACATAAACAAAAATAATCAGTGTTTATGTTGTTGGATACTTAATAGGTGTTTTTTCGTGAGTCTTTGAGCAATACTTACTATTAAGAATTGGTGCCTATTTGTTCTACCATGCACCTCTTGGGAATCTAGTCAAGATTTCCTAAGGTCTTACTTGTGAGCTTTAGGTATCCTAAGATGTAATTACATTGGGTTCAGTTCAAGTTCCAGCCCTAGAAGAGAAAACATAAGCTGTTTTCTTATGTCCATTCTTGGAACAGTTGATCCATTTATCAGCAAAGTGCTGAACAGTTTACCTACCAGCTACCCAAAGACAAAATTAACGATGCTAAACTTAACACTTTATAAGTAGTCTTGCCTTCACTAAGATCATGGTATCAAGTTATCATTCCCATACTTTACCATAGTAGAATCCAGTTATAACATACTTTGTTATAGGGTGTAACCCTACTATTTACTTACCGAAAAGTACAAAGTACAGTCGAAAAGCTAACCATCTGTATCATCCTTGGTGACGTTGGAATCACAGATTGGCAAGGACTCTTCTCTTCTCCATTATCAGATGGGCTGGAATTTTATGGACCCTTTGTATCAAAATCTTTCTTCCACCTAGGTCTACTGTATTTGGTAACTTTTTCTGATGACTTGTTATTCTGTGTTTGGTGATGCAGGACAAGAATAAACTGATGGATGCACTGAAGCACGCCTCCAATATGCTTGGTGAGCTGAGGACTTCTATGCTTTCACCGAAGAGCTACTATGAACTCTGTATCCTTCCAGCACTACAGAGAAACCTAGTAAAGAAGCCATGGAACAAAACTTGATTTTATCTTTGACCAAATAATTCACAATTTTTTTTTGTGTGATGATAGACAGATCCTGTAGCCCCCTTTTTATATTTTATATATATATATAATATATGTATATATATATTATTGTCAGCTTGAATCCCAACAGGTTAGATGAATCAATTTGGAATAATTTAGGGAGAATGGACATTACATCCCTCTTGGGTGCTAATGATCTGTGTTTGGTTGAATATGTGCAAGTTGAATACTGTACAACTCGATAAGATAATGTGAAAATTCATGATAGTCAGCAGCCTTACGTATTTTTTCAGAATCTGAAAGTACAGTATTTTCAAGTTCCACTAGAATTCATGCTCAAGAATAGATAGAAGTTATCTTAATATTGGTGTGTTCCAGGTGTTTTTATTCATGACTGGCCCAGTTGTGTTTATGATGTTTGAATGTTTCTTCAATGTTTGAATGTACTTACTTGTCAGTGTTCTGATAAATTCAATAAAATGTGGGCAGTTAGATTGGACTTGATGAAGTTTGTTGGATGACGACTCAACATATATTTTGGATATATCGCAGCCCTTAACTCTGGTGAATAGATATGGCCATTTCGGATGAACTGCATTACTTGGAGGTTTATCTGACTGATGAGTTTGCCAAAGGCAGAAAGGTGGCTGACCTCTACGAACTTGTTCAGTATGCTGGCAATATAATCCCGAGACTGTAAGTATCTTTAAAATCTGCTGAGGCAGCAGTAAGCACGAATGTAGAATTCTTTGCCCGCATTTATTTACAGTTTTCAACAGCATTATAGATTGAATTTGTAGATGATAAAACTGTTTTACTTTTCTCATAAAAGCATTGACTTATGTTGAAATTCCAGTCCTGTATTTGTGCTGGCAGAAAGTTTTAGATTCATAAATTTGGGCAATTTCATGTTTTATGTGCTGTGTCAAATGAATTAGCACAGTAATTGAAGTGTAAATTTATTTATATGTTCAGCTACCTGCTCATCACTGTTGGAGTAGTCTACATTAAGTCATTTTCCCAGTCACGGAAGGACATTCTGAAGGACCTGGTTGAAATGTGTCGTGGAGTACAGCATCCGTTGCGAGGTCTCTTCCTCCGCAACTATTTGCTCCAATGCACCAGAAATATTTTGCCAGATGAAGGGGAAGAAACCGAGTGAGTCTTTTTTTGATTTAATTAAACCCAGTATCACTTCATTAGTGTGCTTAATTTTACAGATTATTCTTTACATTGACCCTTTTTGAATTAGTGCTCTGTTGAGTGCATGTCTGAGCGTAGGTTGTGCTTAAAAGCCAAATAAAGGAATCAGTTGAATAATGTGGCAAAATTTGGAAATTTACTGCAGTGACTTGCATATTTTAGTTACGTTCTATACCTTTTCCACTGATCTGAATTTGTCAGTCTTAGCTTACAAATAAAATAATCAAATATGTTGTTCAGAAGATTTATTTTTAGTTAAATAATAATAGGATGTGGAATGAGGTTTAGAAATTAAAAGGATTAAGGGTTACTGGATAGAAGGAATATTTTGGAATGTTTGAAGAAGAGAGCTTTATGTTTTGAAAAAAGTAGGACCCCAAAAAATTGATCCAAAAGTTGTTTGGTTGCTGAATAATAAATGTATCACAGCTTCCATTACTTGTTTTTTTTCCCTTCCCGTTCCAGAGAATCTGTAACTGGAGACATCAATGATTCCATGGACTTTGTGCTGCTGAACTTTGCAGAGATGAACAAACTCTGGGTGCGAATGCAGCACCAGGGTCACAGCAGAGACCGCGAAAAGCGTGAACGCGAACGTCAGGAGTTGCGAATTCTTGTTGGGACAAACCTGGTTCGTCTGAGTCAGTTGGAAGGGGTTAATGTCGAGAGGTACAAACAGGTAGAGTTCTGGATTTTGGTATTCTTATAATCGCTGGAAAAAGTTGATAGCTGTATTTATCTGCTTAAAAGAAACCTGAGAAACGGGATGAAGCTTTTCATGAGTAATATTTTAAATTTGGAAAGGGCAACAAGATTTTATAAGTGTAAAGGGGGTTTAGTTGCTCTAAGGTATTCATGGAGGCAGCATTATATCAAAGGGCATTATAACAGCATCCCCTATATCAATCAACATGGAATTTTAGTTTTTTTCATGTAGATGTGACTTTTTCAAAGGAGTCTAAATTCTGTTGATTTACAGTTGACATTAGAGTTGGTGAATGAGGAAATACTCTAGTGGTAAGCAATTCGTTCCCGAAGCAGCAATTGCTGCTGACTGTTTCTGATTTGTTCCTTTTTTTGCATGTATTTTTTCTAGATCGTACTGCCTGGAATACTGGAACAAGTTGTAAACTGTAGAGATGGTTTGGCTCAAGAGTATCTCATGGAATGTATTATTCAGGTAAAATAGGATCTTTGCTTATTCAGAGCTACTCCAATGATATAGTTAATCCCTGGTTTGGTTGGACACCTTTGGTCAGCCTCTAGGCAGACACTAATGTTCATTTAATAATACAGAGCCAGTACAGTTAGGTTTGTCTTGGATGTGAGTGGTGTTACAATTACTAAGCCTTCATTGGAAGGAAAATCTCAGACTAAGATGTATTCCTCCATTTTCTTTTACATTTGCATCCTTTCTACACTTACTAAAGTATAGGACTTCTATTGTCTGTTGTTCAAAGACTGGCTTTTTTTGTGGACATTAGTTGTTTTAAAGAGCTGAAGGGTCCTCTGAAATAATGAAACGTTTCCCTTATTTTTGTACTGAGGCTCTTCATCCTCCTTAAAGTCAGGGCACTGCATATCTTCCTGTAAAAGGAAATTTTATATCCTGGGAAATGCAACTTGTTTTTGTAAAAGTTTTTTTTAAGTAGTTAAGAGTTTTCTGAATTTCAGGTATTCCCTGATGAATTTCATCTGCAAACATTGAATCCCTTCCTCCGAGCTTGTGCAGAGCTCCACCAGAATGTTAATGTTAAAAACATTATCATTGCATTGATTGACAGGTATGGATTAATATTACGTGTGTCCTCAGTGGATTTAAACCAGTTTTATTTAGCAATTTTTTTAATGGATTGAAAATTCTGTTTGTGTAATGGCAGGCTGGCTTTGTTTGCACACCGTGAAGATGGGCCAGGAATCCCTGCTGATATAAAACTTTTTGACATCTTCTCACAACAAGTAGCTACAGTCATACAGGTAAAACTGAAACCTGATTATATCATTGTGCACACCTCAGCAATTGGAAAATATTAATTTGTGTATGTCAGTTGTTTTGTAAGTCCTTATTAAATGTTTAACTTTGAAATTAGTATAAGGAATACTGTGTAATTACTAGGCTCCATGCAATTTGCTACTTAGATTGTCTAAAATAAAATTGGCCCTTATGCAGTGTCTATAATTACAGTGCAGTATTGGTAATGGTTACTTTATCTATTTGCAGTCAAGGCAGGATATGCCATCTGAAGATGTGGTGTCTTTGCAAGTGTCTCTCATCAACTTGGCCATGAAGTGTTATCCTGACCGGGTAGACTATGTGGACAAAGTTCTTGAAACCACTGTGGATATCTTCAACAAACTCAATCTTGAACAGTGTGTACTTTTATTTTGTTCCAGTTACTGTTTATAGTTGATGTTTTTCTTAATTGTATTGATGCAAGAAGATCTATCTTGAACCTGGGTTGTCAAGGTCTGTCATCTTCAGTTGCACAGTTTACACTGAAAACCCGGTTCATAGACTAATATTTTTAATTTCTCCTTTGTATTTAGTATTGCTACTAGCAGTGCGGTATCTAAAGAGTTAACACGTCTCCTGAAGATCCCTATCGACACGTACAACAGCATCTTGACTGTGTTGAAGCTGAAGCATTTTCATCCGCTGTTTGAATACTTTGACTATGAATCTCGCAAAAATATGAGCTGTTATATACTAAGCAACGCATTGGAGTACAATACAGAGATAATTGCACAGGAACAGGTAATCATGTAATACATGTTCCTTATCACGTTGAAGAGGAACAATTGTAACTTCTGTCAACAGATTGGAATGAATTGAAATGTTTTGTGAAAAAAGGTAAATCATTGTTTTAAAGTGATTCTTGCAAATTATTTTGGAAAATCAATTGCAAAGAAACCTAAAATTAGCTTTGAGTATTTTCCATCTGTGTAAACAAAACCTGCAGCTCTGGGAAAGTCAACTGAAAATGAAGAGGATCATTCATTGATCGTTACCAACTAAATAGTAAATTTAATTGGTGCATTATTAGCCACTAAGTTTTGAAAAATCAGGTTGCCAGATGGAGATGAGAGAAGGATGCTGCTTGAGAGTAATAATCCAGCGCCTGAATGTTTCTGTGATGCGTATTAAAATCAGAGTGAACTGTAAAATGGTACAGCACATGCTGCTATCATCAATACTCTTTACTTTAATTAGGTGGATGCTATACTGAGCTTGGTGTCAACGTTGATTCAGGATCAGCCGGATCAGCCAGCAGAAGATCCTGACCCAGAAGATTTTGCTGAAGAGCAAAGTCTTGTAGGCAGGTTTATTCACTTATTTCGATCTGAAGATCCTGACCAGCAGTATCTGGTATGTTACTTTATTTACACATCTGTCATAATGTTGTTTTCCTGAAAGAATTGACATTTTCTCTGCATATTTGATAGGCAGCTTTTGTTTATACTACCTTTTCATTTTATCCCCTTTGAAATATTTGCACATTGACCTTAATATAGGATTATTGCTGCGCTTCAGTGTGCTATTTAGATTATAAATCTATTTGACTTCTTCAAGAAGATTGTTGCTTTGTACTAAACAGTTTGTTTCAAACCACAATATTTTTCAACGTTTAAGTATTATTGATCTGTTTCCTTTTGCAGATTTTAAACACTGCAAGAAAACACTTTGGTGCTGGTGGAAATCAGAGGATTCGTTTCACTTTACCTCCGTTGGTCTTTGCAGCCTATCAATTGGCTTTCTGCTACAAAGAAAACTCCAAAGTGGTAAGTTCTTAATGCTGATTGCGTTCTTATAATACACGGCTGTGGAGATGATAAATCTTCCACCCCAAATATTTCAAAGTTTAACCAAATGCTTATTACATATTAGTCACCATTCATTGTTATTGTGAGGAAAAAGTTTGAAGAAAGAAAGGCACAATAAATGAAGTGTATAAAGAAAAGTCCAATTTTAAGGTTTGTACAATATTAAAGCTACTCAGCTCAAGGTTCATGGTGCGAACTGAAAACAGATCAGCCAAGAGACCTGTAGGTTTCCTGAGTCTTCTTGGTCAAAATGCTTCATTTATAAAATTGTAAGTTCTTTCATTAGATGGTAAGTTATTTTAGAAGCAGATTAAATAGAACGCGAAGCTGCTTGTGATCGGTTTCTACTTGGTTTACTTTCTGGGGCAGATTCCAAAACACCATGGCAACATGGAAATATTCACAGCTCAGCCAGTGTTTCGAAATGGTCACTTTTTCTGTTTGCAATTAACTAGGTTAACTGGTTTTCTAAATTTGGGGTGCAACACTCGAGCCTTTAGTAAGCTCCTTTTTTAAAAAAACAACTATTTTATCTTGTTTTCCAGGATGAAAAATGGGAAAAGAAATGCCAGAAGATATTTTCTTTTGCTCACCAGACCATCAGTGCCCTGATCAAAGCAGAGCTTGCTGAGCTGCCTCTCCGCCTGTTTCTACAGGGAGCGCTGGCTGCTGGGGATATTGGGTTTGAGAATCATGAAACAGTGGCGTATGAATTCATGTCGCAGGTAAAGTTTAAGATTGTAACCAGTCGTTTTTAAATTTTGAGTAAAGGTTGAGTAAAGCAGCGCAACTGTTTCTGAAGGATGTAAATCAGACCTGAAATAATAAGTTTGTTTTCTCAGTTCTCCGCACACAGATTATTATAATGTGGAGAAAGATGAGATAACGCAGAAAGAGGCAAAGAGATTTTCTTTGCCCTTCGAGTGGTTATCAACTGTTAAATTCCTCTTTTTTTCTCTTCAGGAATTCTATAGGAGTTCTGCTGAAGGCTTAATATTAGATACATCATAGACAGATCAGGAGAGCCCTATGTACAATAATTGGTCTGTTCTGAATTGGAATTCAGCAGAAAAGGCAGCAGAAATACACTGAAGTTGACTTCAATATCCCTAGACTGGAGTGTATGTCTTCAGTATTGTTCCATTTAAATATTTGAAGTGGCTTCAAGGCATTATACAAAGTCGCTAATTATAATCTGTTGAGGATTAGTGAATTCATATCATTTGTTGAGTACACCCGCAGAGGTTGGCTCAGGAAAAAGTCGTCTGGCACGCTGTCCTGTCAGTCTTTTGGGAAGGGTAGGGTGATTTTTGTTTTCCTTCTCTCTCTCTCTCTTGCACAATGATGAGCTGACCATTGGGCCAAATTGTAAGAGATTGTTGATAAGCAGGAGTGAGAGTTTTCAAACCTGTTTCAGCATTTCCAGATGTTTAATTTTCAGAGAAAACTACACCCAAATGAGTTTACAGCAAAATGAGCTACAATAATGAGTGACATTCCATGCTACAGGAATTTAGACAAGGTTCCCAGTGGGGTACATTTCAAATAGTATTATTTTGATTTCTGTAGCCGTTGATCTATAATTAATATATGGCAACTTTTACTAGATGACTTGTAGTTCCTGTAGTTTCTGCGATAGTCGATTGATCTTTCTGTTTGGACTGCAGGCGTTTTCTTTGTATGAAGATGAAATCAGTGATTCCAAAGCACAGCTGGCAGCAATCACGCTCATTATTGGAACGTTTGAGAGAATGAAGTGTTTCAGTGAAGAGAATCACGAGCCCTTGAGGACGCAGTGCGCATTGGCGGCTTCAAAGTTGCTTAAGAAGCCAGATCAGTGCCGTGCTGTCAGCATCTGTGCTCACTTATTTTGGTCTGGTCGAAACACAGATAAAAATGGAGAGGAGGTAAATATGTCCGGCCCAAATTATATTTGTGCATCATTGCAATTGAACCTTTCATCTACTTAAATGGTTTAATATCTTTGTGTGTTTAATTGCTTCAAAGCTTAATGCAGAGCTGTAAATGTTAGAGAGGTTTGCTTCCATTTCATTTCACTCTGTCTTAATTGGATTGGGAAATTATATGTAACTTCACTATAAGTCTGACATTTGAACAGAAGACGTACAAAATAGTTTTTGGAGAATAACTGTTTTATCTGACCCAAGTGGCTTGAGTTTTAATAAAACCTACTGTTAGAATGTGGAATTAGAGCTCTGTGACACGCCGTTTGGGAGACTTGACATTTTTAGTTGAAAGCCCCAGTTATTTTGCTGGCGCTGTACAATAATGGTGAATTTTCCCTATTAGGAGAAATTCGTCTGTCACATAAGTTTTTAACTTCTGCATTACTGTTTTGCCTTTCATTTACCAATTCTCAGTTTGGTTTTATACTCTTAAGCATGGTAATGGATTTCCACGTGTGGCTGACCAAAATGTGATTTACCAATTATGCCATGTGCATTTTTGTGTGCTTGGGTTGTCCGATACCAGTTAAATGTGTATACACATTTACATAACCCATTGGTTTGTGTTGCATTGGACACGTATGTAATTGAAATTAATGGATTATTCACTTGTATTTTTTTCTCCCTTAAAGATCCACGATGGCAAGAGAGTGATGGAGTGTCTGAAGAAGGCTTTGAAGATAGCTAACCAGTGTATGGATCCATCACTACAAGTTCAGCTCTTCACTGAAATCCTTAACAGATACATATACTTTTACGAGAAGGAAAATGAGGCGGTAAGCTTAAATTGATCATTGAATTGCTGTAATTCACTTTTATGTTTCACCTGTTTTTCTGTAGAATAATTTGGAGCCTGCCATAATCAAATCTAGTGTGCAGTCGAAGAGATAAGAGAAGAATCGTACACGAGTTTAAATTTCTGATCACACTCCAGCATGTCTGCTTCCCCCATCCCAACTGGGTTGAATACTTTCTGGACTTTGTATGTGAAGAAGAACCACTTGGACGTGGTTTTTGGTGGCACGTGAAGCCATATTCCAGCTTTGGTCCATGCCTTCGTTAGAGAAGTTATTGGAGAAAGATTTACTGGGACAAAAAAAAGTATTGTTTAGTACAGTTGACGTGTATCATTTCTAAGGTTTTCAAGCCCAAGGTTATAAAAATAGCTTGTCTCCAAGCAAAGCACCCATCTTTGTCGTTCTCTGAAATCTAGTATATTACAAAGTAATCTGCAAAGTTGGTGATATTGAATATTGGTATGCTTAAGGCCACAATTTCTTGTTGGCCAAGTTTTGTAAATGTGTAAATGTCGGTCTGATTTGGTTGCTTGAACTGGTGGTGAATGGTGTGATATATTTCCATTTCAGGTTTGTAATTGTCTTCAGCCCCAATGACATGTTGTGGTGAATCTAGATTTTAATGTAAATACATTCTAATGTTTCTAAACTTGTATTGCAGGTGACGATTCAAGTCTTAAATCAGCTTATTCAAAAAATACGAGAAGATCTTCCAAACTTAGAATCCAGTGAAGAAACTGAGCAAATTAATAAACACTTTCACAACACACTGGAGCACCTGCGTCTGAGGAGAGAATCGCCTGAATCCGATGGCCCAATTTATGAAGGTCTTGTCTTGTAATTTACCACCTCTCAAATTATATAATTCCAGCAAAGAAATTAAATCTATTCACACCTCCTTCTCTGCAGTAGATGGGTTGGGAATGTGCCTTTTACAGATTGCAAGACAATAGGATTGCCACTGAATTGTTTCATATCATATCTATTGACCAATGCTTCTTTCAAGGAAAACATTCCCTGAATTAATCACTGAAATAAAGTCAACATGTGATTGATGGAAGTTTAATCTGAACTTCCTCTACAGCATGACTTGTATTTGCAGTCCCCATTTTCATTTAACTTGAGAAAAGAATGAGTCACGATTGAATTGATTTTTTTTTAAAAAATCCATGTTTTACAGTTGCTTTCAAATCTTCAGCTATCTAGCTGAGTGCCCTAAAATTGCTGAATAGATGCTGACGATTTCAGTAAAAGTTAACAATAAAGAGAGCGCTGTTTTAAAAGCCGGTGACTATTTCAATGTGGGGTTTGCGCACATGCATGCATTTCAACAGAGCAGTAATGTTAGTCCAGTTGAGTGGCAGGATATCATCAGAGGAAAGATTCATTTGGTTGCAGGAAGTATTGTAAAAAAAATCAGATTTTAAGATGGGGGGTGGGGTGTTATGGAGGCGGACCGACGGTGTTGTCTCCGTCTAAGGTTAGCAAATTTAGTAACTGAGGGCGGGAATTCACCCAGTGTTACAACTGCCCTAATTATAAAGCAAGCGATTGCAGTAGCAAAGTAAACATTTACATATTTTACGTAGTATCAATTTTTTTGTATTTCATTGGTAATTACTTTAGTTTGATTTAATTGTATTTGTCAATTCTCTAACTTATATTAATGTAACCGTTTTATAATGTAGCTATGTTCAACAGTACTGGACCAAAGTGATGGAAGGACAAATCCTGCCTTTTATTTAGTCATTTGTTCAGCCATTTGTTCTAATTATTTACCCCCATCTTCTGTTTTTTTAACTCCTCTACCTGGATATCTCATATTCTTGAATGAAAATAGTTTCTGGGAATTGTATGATAGTGGATTAGTACACTGACCTTTTATCTGTGGGATGAAACTAAACCTGAGTTGTGAATGGTAGGATGAATATTTTTCCCTTTTGATCTGGCTATAGTGTCCTGTGACTATGAGAAGTCTCAACCATAATGGCTGTGGGCTCCATAGCACAAATTAGCATTCTCAGTCAATGGGAACACAGGATTGCTGTTTTTTGAGAAGTGAAAAATGTCACTGTGGTGCTGACCTTCTGAGGTTGGGGCAGGCAAAGGGAACTTTACATCTCACTATGATCTGTTTTGCCTGAATAAAACTTGATGCAGACACTGGGTTTTTACACTACCAGCATCAGTACTCCTCTGCATATTAACACAAGATTCACCAAAAAAATGTGAAGTGTATTTCTGCAACACTTTACCAAAATATAATATAATGTTTGTTTCTGCAAGCAGGAAAGAAGGTATTTTTGTCCCAATGTTGCAATTAATCCCTACGTACCAAAAGCAGGATTTATATTTACATTGGTTCCTGATTTAGCCAAATATTTCTACCCACCTGCAGAAATTAGACTCCTGTCACCTCTCAACTCAAGGTTCAACTTTAAGAGATCCTTGGGAGTGTGTATGTGTGTATATATAGTAAGATTTAGACTCTAGATGTTATCCATAAGGACATGGAAGATTGCATGCTTGGTTGAAAAGATTGTGCAATTTCTGAAAATGTCAAGTGTAAAAAATAATTCATATCCTTGATTTATGATGCAAAATGAGTTTCTAGAAAGAGGGAATAAATTGAACCAGCAATCGTATAAACATTTAACAGCATTTTAAAGATATTCTTACAAACTTCCACAAATCTAATAAGATTAGAAGCCAAAGCAAACTACAGAAATGCATGGATTTTTAAAAAAAAAAAAAAATTCTCACCTAAATACCAAGTTTTGCTTTAAGCTTTCCAATTGTCAGTCTAGAAATGGCACACTTTCAGCAACTGCCTTGTACTGCAGTTAAGCAGGTCACCCGGGTAGTGACTTTAACATGTTGAGGGTAGTGGAGTCCTGGTTAGCAGGATAATGCAAATTACCCAAAATGATAATATTCTACACTGCTTTTAGCAAGTCAAAGCTCTAATTTGTGATTTTTTCCTAAATTTAAAAAGTGTCAAGTTTCCATGATCTTTGAGAACTGTTGCATTGCCTATTTTAGATATTGGTATTGCTTCCCTGGAATGCTTAATCCTGCTCATTCTGCCTGTAGGTGCTGTAGTAATGTTGCATTCTATTGTAGCTTTAAAGACCTTGTTCTTAAAAAGTCACATCACGTACTTCATGTAAAATCTTGAGCTGCTAAATTGATTTAAAAAAAGGTGGTGTTACCTGTATTCAAAGGTTTATGATGTATTTGTATACATGTATCCTTGGAACTGAGCATGTATTCATTTTCCCCACTTGAGAAATGTACTTTTTGAAATCACTGTAACATACTTTATAATTCCTTTGTAAATTAACTGGAGTATTATGGTCAATGTATTCAACAAAAAGCCTATTAAAATGCTTGACCAAGTGATGGGGTGGTTTACAGGATTTGATATTCACAAGGAATTTCATATTAAGTCTGTAGGAATACGGTTGTTAATTGATTGGCGGATTACTTTCTGGCAGTAATAATCTCTCCCCCCAAAATTTAAAAAATTGGTTACTCAATCCACAACTGTTTGTGGACACTGCTGTGAGCAATTGCGTTTCATCAACAAAATACAGTCAATCCACTTTACAATATATTCTGTGAAGCATTTTGAGACGTCTCTACGATGTGATAAGACACTATATCAAATGCAAGGATTATTATTTAGTTTTTCAAGTGGTTATAGAGCATATTGTGCACATTTACTTAGTACATAATATTGTGCGACGCTCAGGCCTATCCTGCATGAAGGGGGGGGGTGTATAACTGCAATTTGTTTCACAATGTTGTATTTCATTGCATGACCTCATAGTTTGTATTAAGACATGGTTTTGTCTCCTTGCAGTTGTCTTTCCATGTGCTTTCTATATGGCGTTATGATCTGAAGCTAAGAGTGTCACATCTTACTGGCTTGATTGAAATACTTCAACTCCTAAACTCACCCTGAAGTATGGACAGCTCGGTTTCATTTTAATGAACAATCTTTTTCTGTTTCAGTTGAACTCTAATACCTGTTTTAGTCAACATGTCAGCCTACTTCCTCCCAGCATACACTGACAGGTGTGATGCTGCTTCACATTTTCTTGGATGACAGACAAAAATATAATTGGAGATGAATAATAGGCATAAAGGATGAGAAATTAAACTTTGTCTTTCTTTGTGAATGCATCTAATTATAATTATTCATACAATTCCAGACATTAAACTTGCCATACCATCAAACATACATAGTTAGATGTTCCATTTAGGCCACACATCAATGAGGTACAGGTGGGAGCCAGCAACACAGGCTCTGAAGTAGCTCCTCACGATTAAACTGAATGCAGTGATGCATATGCATATGCTCTATCAAAAGACTGATCTGATGGATCATTTACAATTCTGAATGTACTAATCTAAGCATCTGTGCACAATTTACTTTCTTGTGACTCTAATTGAAGGAGTCATTTGAAAAGGCTGGACCTGTTACCATGGTGCAAGTAGTTCTCTCAGGAACCAACAGATATTGCATCACATTTTATGTGGTTTTTAATGCCATTCTGATAAAGTCTGTGGTGTAGCTCCACGTCTAGATAATACCAGTTCATTGCCTTTGAGATCAAACACTTCACTTCCAAATGCAATTTATCCATTCCACAGGAGACCACTGATGGGGTCTGCTCAGCCCTGGGATCCAAAACCTAACCTGCTGCCTGAGTCTCACATGTTCACCAGATGTTGATTGATGGTTAGGTTCTGGGAAATGCCAAACTCATTCTGTTTTTGAACCTCCCCAAAATCATGTTGGATAATTATTTTAGTTGGAGTAATTCATCAAACATGTTTCTGAGGCTTTGTTTTTTGCCAACTTCTAAGTGTTGACTAATTCTTTACAAATATAAATCTGTGAGGCAATGGAGTTTTCACTATTTGCATCACAAAGAACGAAAGCAGTGATATAAATCACTGGAATCTTTAAAAACTGCAGTTGTTCATATCCCACACACGTTACAATAAATAATTACTCTATAAGTAAGGAGCTTGTGAAGCTGGCAGTTGCTATTCCTGCAGCAAATTGTTTCTTCTCAATTGTGCAATTTAACTGCCTATGAATATGCATTTCTGGATGGAGGAAATCATCCACTTGTCTTTAATGTGGTTGTATGAATATTCCTAAGAACTGGTGAAAATTATTTGCTTGATATACAGAGAACAGCATAACCATAAGATGTAGGAGCAGGAGTAGGCCATTCGGCCCCTCAAGCCTGCCCCCCCATTTAATAAGATCATGGCTGATCTAATTCCATTTACCTACCCTATCCCCATATCCCTTAATCTCTCTAGCCTTTAGAAATCTATCAATCTCAGTCTTGAATATGTTCAAGAACTGAGCATCCACAGCCTTCTGGGGTAGAGAATTCCACAAATTCACTACCCTCTGAGTGAAGAAATGTTTCCTCAACTCAGTTCAAAAAGGCTTGAGACTATGACCCCCAGTTTTAAATTCTCCAACCAGGGGAAACAGTCTCACGGCATCTACCTTGTCAAGACTCTTAAGAATCTGATATGTTTCTGTAAGATCACCTCTAATTCTTCTTTCTTCTAGAGAATATAAGCCTAGTTTACTCAACCTATCCTCATAGGTCAACTCCCTCATCCCAGGAACCAACCTAGCGAATCTACGTTGCACTCCCTCTAAGGCGAGTATGTCCTTTCTTAAATAAGGAGGCCAAAACTGCACACAATATTCTAGGTGCGGTCTCACCAAGGCCTTATACAACTGCAGCAAGACTTCACTACTCTTGTACTCTAACCCTTTTGCAACGAACGCCAACATGGCATTAGCCTTCCTAGTTGCTCGCTGTACCTGCATACTAACTTTTTTGTGACTCGTGCACAAGGACACCCAAATGCCTCTGAACACTAACATTACCTAGTCTCTCCCCCTCTAGAAAGTAATCTGCTTTTCTATTTTTACTAACTAGATGAATAACTTCACACTTCCCCACGTTATACTTCATCTGCCAGCTTCTTGCCCACTCACCTAGCCTATTTCCCTTTGCATTCTTCTTGTGTCATCTTTACAGCTTACTGTCCCACCTAGCTTCGTATCGTCCGTGAATTTAGATGTTAAGTTCTATTTCCTCATCTAAATCATTGATATAGACTGTAAATAATTGAGGCCCAAAAACTGATCCTTGTGGCACTCCACTAATCACATTCTGCCAATCTAAGAAGGACCCGTTTATCTCGACTCTCTTTTCTTCCTGTAAACCAATCTCCAATCCATGCTAATATATTACTTTTAATTCCATGGGCTCTAATCTTATGCCTTTTATGTGGCACCTTGTCAAATGCCTTCTGGAAATCCAAATACACCACATCCAAATAACCGTGTGTGCATATGTAAAAGAAAAAGGCAATCCTGTTCCAATTCATAAGCTCTGAGCCGAACTCCTTTGTAGATACCATTCATCATATAATGTAACTTTAATAATTAAATTTTACTTCCATACTTGGCAGTCTATTACTATCTTTACAAATCTACTTGTTCGTATTATTTGCTACAAGCTGGTTGTAAAAGAGCCCAGATTTAATTTGACTGCAATTATTACATTGCTGTATCTCTTTCTCAGTTTGGAAGAGCAAAATGTCAATATCATTCATTGGCTGAGGTTGTGTCCATCACCAAATACGACCACCAACTAACAACAACAAATTGCATTTTTTTAAGAGACTTTCACATCAGGAGGATGTCTCAAGGCCTTGGACGGTCAAGGATCTGCACCTGAACCAAGAGCGGGAACTTAAGAGGGTTGGGGATCAAGGAGGGTGGTTGTGAGAAGATGACCGGTTAAATAGAATTTATATTTTTTCACAAAAGGAAAATAGGGCAAAACTTTTGGTCTAAACTAAATCATCATTAAAAGTACCAAAACATAACTCCTGCCAGCAACATGAAAATGGTTTTAAATATTCCTAATTTAAATGTAAATTGTAAAACGCTATAGCATCTGTAGTTGTGCTAGTTCTGATGGTCTTTGTTGAGAAATGTAACTGTTATTTTCCTGCCTTGTTTTTAAAAGATGTATTGAATTAGTGTTTACTTCGCTGGTGGATTTGAAGCACATGGAAAGTATGCCAAGAATCAGCTCATTCATAAGAAACCGTTTGCCAGAAAGACATTTCCTGTTTACACAAACCTCCCTGTACATGCTTCTTTGTGCAAAACCTACTTTACTCAAATGGAATTAATTAAATAATAAGGTTCCTCTAAGCTTTATTCATGTGCACATATCATGTGCTTAACACTCATTGTCAATAAAATATTCTGTTGAAATTAAGAAAGTATGATAAGTCTTTATAAAATGACAGATACATGTTGAATTTCAGCTTGTACCTAATGGAAAAACTGAACTGTTACGCAGTCCTGAGCATTTCCACATTTAAGTTCCCACCAGTAAGTTGTATGATTCTATGAACTTTTATTTTTATGGAGAGACTTCAAGCATTATTGTTTTACAAATGGATATTTTGGAGTTCACAACTGTTCAGCTAATCATTTTATCTCGGACCAGCAAGAAAACATGCCCGGTAATTAATTCCAGACTGAAACACTTTGTTCGGGATTTCATAAGACAAAGCTTGGAATAGCAAATTAAAAGAAAGTCTTGGAAATTGTTTTGAATCATACTTATGAATATTTGAAAGCATATCAAGATTCATTGTTGAAACCTCATCTTAAAATGCATGAGTTAGCTGATATGATTTAACTGAGATAATTATTATAATTAAATTTGAGGTCTTTCACTGTTTTCCCAGAGGGCGTCTCCTATTACCTATGGGGAAGAGGGACTGTGTGCAAATCAAATGCAACTATGGTTTTTTTAGTGCCTATCCCTTATTCCACTGAAAAGTAATTTTTTTGTACTGATAACATTGTACAGATAAACTGTTCAGAATATTGTATAAGATATGAATCTAGCAATTTGAGGGTGACATACATTTCAAACGAGCAATGGAGAAAATAAAAGACTCAGCAAGTATGGAAAGTCCCTACCATCTTTTTAGACGACATTAAATTATACTCGTACATGTGATTATAAAGATAAATACAAAATGGAGCTGACATTGTAAATGCTCTCTGTACAATAAATCCAGGATGTCAACAAATTTGAACTGATTGATAAATAAATTGCCTATTTACATACACCGGATATGTAGTCAGTGAGATAGAAACTGTGACATTCCTTCCTTCAGAGATACACTGCAGGTTTTCATACTTGACAATTTTTAAATCAGACCATGAGATACCAACTAGCAGATCACATGTAGCACACAGACCGGAATAGTGTATCCCATGATTTTGTTTCCCTGCAGATTTTTTTGCTGAGAACAACACTGGATTTGGAAACTTCTGGGATATGTTGCTGTGCAATTGAACACTTTTGTTAATTGAGACATACCAATAGTTTGCCCGCCGTGACCTCTGCTTGGAAAGACCATCATACAAATCGTGCTGTGTTGCCTTTTATTGTGGTGTATTTTGACTCACTTTCAGAACTCTGGTGCATTTGATTTCAATGTCGCTCCGCGTTCTCCTTTTCCTTCCTATTTTCCTCCTGTCTTTTTTTCTCTCTCCTTTTTCATGAATTAAATTATTCGACGGCCCAGAAATAATTTCCCGCATTTGTTGTTGTACAAAATATAAAATGTCATGGCTGCTTAAAATGCCGGTGGTTTCCTCCTGAGGAAGGCAGCGAAAGTATTGTCCTTGCGAAATTACTGTACTTTGCATCTTGCATACCGATCAGTGCCCAGACTTGCCCTGCAGGAGTCTAAGGGATTTGGAAGGTAGACATTAACCAACATGGGCACAGCGAATGCAAATGCTGTCACTCTGAATCCTCTGTATAACTCCTCATGTAAAGTCATACGCCATTTGTTGATTTAAGTCAAAACCCTCAGAAAACCATGCACATCAGAACAACCTGATCCTAATGGGGCATTTGCAATTACCGTAATCTGAGCTTTCTGGAACCAACCACAAATTACTCGTATTGTCAAATGGGAACGTGAAATTAGCAAAACTACTTGAAGACGACGTGTTTGTGCTTGTTTGATGTTATTACTTTAAGACTCTTCAGCGAATGGAATAAGCAAAGGTATGTAAAGCAGACTCAGGAACTAAGCTTTTGTGGACAAATGGATTGCTTGCAGCCGTAATAAAGATGAGCTGCTTACGGTGGACACAATGCATGACATCCAGAAATGGAGCGATCTTTCAGCTGTAATAAAACATAACTTATCTACTGAAAACTTCTTTCGGTGACAGCGTTTGCTGAATTATCTGATCGTGTGATTTGAATGATTCCGAGGTTTCTCTGCATTGGAGCATTGGCAAGAATTAGCTCATTTATTTTGTATTGTGAAATCCAACTAATGATCACCACCGCACACAGTGAAAGTCAGGTTTCTTGGACCAGACGGTGGGTGGGTGGGTGGGTGGGAGTGGGTGGTAATCAATTGGGATGTGACTCAGATATAATATACAGGAATGATCCTTGCGTTGATTTCAAGATCCTCATCCTCACCTTTGATTTCAAGATCCTCATCCTCACCTACAAGGCCATTCACGGCCTCGCTCCCTCTTACCTCTCCAACCTACTATCCCCCTACCTACCTGCCCGTACCCTCCGTCCCTCTGGCTCCGGTCTGCTCCATGTCCCCCGCCCCAACCGCCCGACCATTGGTGGTCGGGCCTTCAGCCTCAGCCCCGAGGCTCTGGAACTCCATCCCCCAGTGCCTTCGCCGCTTCCTCCCTCTCCTCCTTCAAGACCTTTCTCTTTGACCGAGCCTTCAGCTCCCCTCTCGACTCTCTACCCCCTCCTCGCTCCCTTCCTTCCCTCCCCTCACCCTGACCATTTCCCCCCAATGCTCGGGTCCTGACCCAACTGTGCAGCGCCTTGGGACGTCCTCCCGACGTGAAAGGCGCTCTATAAATGGAATCTTGTTGTTGTTGTTGTTGTTTCACACAGCAATTCATCACATCATCAAAGCATCTCCAAAGGGCTCCGCAGGATTTACCGGGGAATGTACTGACTCCAGAGTTGCAGACACAAATGCAGCGGCCGATTTGCCCAGAGCAGCGTCCCCACAAATGCAAGGATTATTATTATTATATTATTATTATTATTACTATTGCCTTTGATGGTCTTTGGACAGGAGGGTGTAGCCTGTGCTTCTCCGGACTGGCCGCTGGGGGAGCGCTGCAGCCCCAACTCCTCCCCCTCCCCCTCCCCCACCGCGCCCCGCCCCTTCCGCCCCCTGATTGACAGGTGGTTGGTCACAGCCAATGGCAGCGCGCGCGGGGCTCCGGGTGGCGGTTAGAAATTTGAATCGGCGAACGTCGGCTCGAGCGGCTCCTGAGCCTCGACACAGAGCGAGAGCGACCCCGACACCCCCCATCCCCCCGACACTCTCCCCCCCCCCCCCCCCAGGCATTTGGCTCCACTCTCAAGACGAGCCACTACCCCCCACCATGGCCGAGGAGGAGGAGGCGGTGTGTCCGGGATCTGAGATGCCGACGGCGGACGAGGACCGGCAGGAGAGTGGGGAGCAGCTCACAGCGGGTCGCGACGGGCCCGTGAGCGGAGGTAACTTCTCCCGTCAACAGCACACGACGCCGTATTACATTTTATCCCCAGTGACCGCTGCAGCTGTGACAGCGGCTCCGGGCGGGGGGTGTGAGTGCGGGGGCACACCTGCCCCCTCCCTAATGTCCAGCTTCACCCACTGTCTGTCCCTGTCCTGTTCGTCCACACCTCGCACCCCCCCCTACACCCTCCCCACACACATACTCCCCCCTACACACACCCACATACCTCCCCTACACACACCCACACACCCACATACCTCCCCTACACACACCCACACACCCACATACCTCCCCTACACACACCCACACACACACCCCCCCTACACACACCCACACACACACATACCCCCCCTACACACACCCACACATACCCCCTACACACACCCACATACCCCCCCTACACACACCCACACACCCACATACCCCCCCTACACACACCCACACACCCACATACCCCCCCTACACACACCCCCCACACACATACCCCCCTACACACACCCACATACCCCCCCTACACACCTCCACACACACATACTCCCCCCTACACACACCCACATACCTCCCCTACACACACCCACACACCCACATACGCCCCCTACACACCTCCACACACACATACTCCCCCCTACACACACCCACATACCTCCCCTACACACACCCACACACACACACCCCCCCTACACACACCCACACACACACATACCCCCCCTACACACACCCACACATACCCCCTACACACACCCACACACACACATACCCCAACTACACACCCCCACACATACCCCCCCTACACATACCCACATACCCCCCTACACACACCCCCACACACACATACTCCCCCTACACACACCCACACATACCCCCTACACACACCCACACACACATACCCCAACTACACACACCCACACATACCCCCCCTACACACACACATACCCCCCCTACACACACCCACACATACCCCCCCTACACACACACACATACCCCCCTACACACACCCACACACACATACCCACCTTCACACACACACACATACCCCCCCTATACACACCCACACACGCACATACCCCCCCTACACACACACACACACACATACCCCCCCTACACACACCCACACACACACATACCCCCCCTACACACAACAACACACACACATACCCCCCCTACACATCCGCACACACATACCCCCCTACACCCACACACACACATACCCCCCCTACACACACCCACATACACATACCCCTCCCTACACACACCCGCGCACACACATACTCCCCCTACACCCACACACACATACTCCCCCTACACCCACACACACATACCCCCCCTACACCCACACACACATACCCCCCCTACACACACCCACACACACATACCCTACACACACCCACACAAACCACATACACCCTCCCCTTACACACACATCCACCAACCGCCACACACGCCCCCCCCCACCCACCAACCCCCACACACATCCACACCCCCTACCCCAACCACCCACACACCCATATCTTTCCAACTTGATGCTGATGTTACCATGTGGTCCTGTGCCCCATGGGGACCACATTTGCAAAGTTGATATTTTCCAGACTTGCAATACAATTCCATTGGTACAGCACCTTTCACGTCGGGAGGGCATCCCAAGGAGCTGGATGGTCAGGGGGTTTGGACCCGAGCAAGGGTGTGGGGTGGGTTGGGATAAGGGAGGGTGGAGAGTAGGAGGGTGGCCAAAGGCATGGCTGACGAGGAGGGTCTTGAGACTTGCAAGACAAACACGGAGAATTTCATCTTCCTGTTGTCGTTATGACATTGATTCGCAAGCAATGTAATCAGATTCACTGCTAAGTGTTATGAAATTTTTGGTGTGAGTTGATACAGCTTAAAATGCATTCCTCAGCATCTCTCTAGGCGCATTAATATATATTTTTAATGTAATGTAAATCTTCGTAGAATATTTCATTATATTTGTTGGCATTGCTCAAATTTTAGATTTTAACCGTCGATTTGTGCAAGTCCTTATTAATTGGTTTATATTTTATGTAGTGTTTATATTGCTGGAAGGGATGCAGTATTGCTGGGTAAATATTCTGAAAATGTTACTTCACGAGTTTCGGTATGTTAAATGTTAGTTACTCTTTCCAAATGTATGTTCTTCCATTTGTAATCTTGTTCTTACAGTGGAAAATAGTGAACATGGCAGTAAGAATGAACCTATCAGCCACCAACTCACTGGTATGTATTTGCATAGCAAGGTTATAGGCTATAATAATTGGTTGCAATGCATATTGATGATGCAATTTCAAAATATCTTGAACACCTGAAGACTTTGTGATAATCTTGTTCCTTTGCAGGGTCAAAGGATTTGCAGTGTCTTGTGGGCACAAGAATTGTGGGGCGATGTCAGGTTGCTACTAATGTCTTTAGTGCTTCAGTGAACTTTAGTGCTTATGGACAGAATGCACCACTACCATAACTTGGGTGCAAGACTAATATTAATAAGATGACTATTTTGTGTGTTTTACTATCTTTTGTTGAAGTAAATATGGTTGAAAAATATTTTCCCCTTTTTTACAAGCAGACTGTTTTAAAGATGAAGAGGAAATTGGGAAAGATCATGATTACCCTATAAAGGAGATGACTTCAAAAAAACATGTTAGAACTGTTGAGTTTCCAGAAGTCATTGAGACAACTCAGCTCTCCTATTATGAACGTTATAAGGCTTACCAAGACTACATTTTAGGTAAATATTTCTATCAATTAATATTCTTGAATTAAAATAATACAAGTAATGATTTGCTATTCTAATACCAGTACATTTCCTGTTGATGCCAAGTTTTGCAGAAATGTGGAATGTTTGATTTTGTAAGATTGATAGTTAGCTGTCTTTGAATTCTAGAGCAGCCAAACTAAAATTGTAGATTGATTTTTTTATGTGGATAAATGTAAAGCTATGCTCCTTCCCCATCCTCTCAACTCCCACCTTGCACCAACCAGTACTGTTAAGTGTTTTGGGACCCAATTCTGATGTGAAAGGCACTGTATAAATGTAACTTTGTATTGTGTTTACAGGTGACACTAAACCATCTGAGGTGAAAGATTTCATTGCGGAATATTTAGATAAGGTCCTGGAACCGTATGGATGGCAAGCGATCTGGTCTAATGATGTGTTTGAGGTGCTTGTTGAGGTAAATACCCACTTAAAATTAGGGCAAGGGGTGATGGTAAGTTCACCTTTACTGCAGTGATTGTGTTCGTCATTCTGCAAAACTTAGTAAGGCACCAATAACATTGTTAAGCAATATCACAAATTGAGCTTAAATTCCATTGGGGAGAAATTTCCTCCTAACTCTAGATTTATTTGAATTAAATTTCAATCCATATTCTTTGCAATATGTATTTTATTATTTTTGAAAATCCTGGTAATAAACAGTACAGCGAAATCCCATATATAAGATCATTGTGGATTAAATATTCTTAATGTACAATGAGCTAGTAGTTAGATTGAATTGTTTTTGAAGTATTTGCTTATTATCTCAGATAACTGATGTGGTGACATCAAGCTTACAGGCAAAGGTGCATCTGACTGAACTATTCCTTTATGAGTCTGAAACTTATCCTCTTAGCAGAGAGGCAATGGAAAGTTTCCTGGAGGCAAAGGAGCATCTTGTACCATTACAGGACTTGTATGTGGCAGTTGATGGGTCGGGAGAGTTTGACCAAACAGCACTAGCCATTGAACACATCAGGTACACGATTTAAAAATATATTTTTAGTTTATTTTATTCTATCCATATGTGAAGATTTAAATGACTGAATACATTTAGCCAAAGTTTCTTTCAATGCTTATTTCACAATGCTTATGGATTTTGTTGGATTCAACACTGAGATTTAGAAGCCATTACTTGACCTGAATTGGAGCCAGTAGCTTCTTCTACCACAACAACAACAACAAATTACAGTTGTATAGTGCCTTTCATGTTGGGAGGATATCCCAAGGTGCTGGACAGTCAGGGATTTGGATCTGACTACAATATTCAGTACAGAATGAAGAGCCCACTTTTTCCTGTAAACTCTTGTGAAATAACTTGCCAATGCCTACCTGGATCTCTATGTTGAATGGCTTTGCCAAGTCCACAGTTGGTTAATTAAAACCCTGGGTCCCTCAAACAAATTAGTGCAGTTCTTAACGCATGTTTTCCACACAGTATTCAAAATAATTATCACGTTATAACAATTTCCATAGTTTACATGGTATTTTTCTTTACAGGTTTTTCTATGAAAATATCTGGAGAAAGTGGGATGAAGATGATGATGACGATGATTATGATTACTTTGTCAGATGTTGTGAACCTAGACTTAAACTGTGAGTGTGTTTTGCCAACTTTCGATGATAAACATTTTTGCAAACTTTTTTATATTTTGAATTCATAGTGACTTTTTTTATTCTTTGCAAATCCTTCAAAATATTCATAATTTACTATTGATAACTTTGTTAGTAAGATTCATAAGGAAGAAATGAAGTCACTATTTTTATAATAATAATAATAATAATCCTTGCATTTGATATAGCGCTTTTCACGTCAGGAGGACGTCCCAAAGCGCTTCACAGAACACACTGTAAAGTGAATTGACTATATTTGTGGGCAACACGGCAGCCAATTGCGCACAGCAATGTCCCACAAACAGTCGAAGATTGAAAATGACCAATTTATTATTGTTTTTGGTTTTGGAGGGATTGCTATTAGGCTCTGTGTGGAGTAAGGAAACTTGCCCAAGGTTTTGCCCTCTGCCTGGAATTGAACTCGGGTCTCTCGCTTGCAAAGCGAGTGCTCTAATCACTGAGCTACAGGACTCCACTTTTTTTCCGGTGAATTATGTACAAACCTTTTTGATATTTGTAAGTTTAACTATATAGTGAATCATAATAAGTGATGAGCTTGACAACAGCTGTCCAGTTACTTAATTTAAAGTTTCTCACTCAAATCTACCTGCTATCATGTATATTTATTTGCTGACTTTATTTTTTTGTGATATCCTTTTGTCAGTTAAGATTCTTGGCACCAGGTGGTGCTGTAAGCAAACTAATACAATGAGAATGTTAGGAAAACAACTGCTTCTGAAGCAAACTTGCTTAAAACTAATTCTAATACAATTGTTAGTAATTGAACTGGAAGAAAAACCTGAATATTTGATTGCATTATTTTATAGATGCACATTATTTTTGTCTTACTTTGCAAAACTGAATTTTGCAGTAGTCAAAACAAGTTATTTTTCCCACTGCAGTCTTTGAAACATAGTGGAATGCATCAATAATTGGCACTGAATGTGTTTGGAATACAATTTTTTTTTGCTGTAAGGGCTCTCTCACAACTGTAATTTGAATTGAAAGAACAAAATGAAGCACATAGTCTCTTTCCTTTGAAAATCTGTGTGAATGATGGGGCAATGATCAGTTAGCTTGGTTATTTCTTTGAACAAAACCTTAAAACTACTGGAGTTGTGGTCGAATGGTAGAGTGGTGGGAGTAGGTAGAGGATGTAATGTGGGGTACTTGCAAAACTTTGAAACAAGGGAATTTGCACAAAGTTGTGGTGTCCCATCAAAGCTGTAAATCTTTTGCTGCACTCTCTTTAAATTCAGGCACTACGATATTCTTGAAGATCGTGTCCCAACTGACCTCATTGCTGAATATCATCGGCTGTTGTCAAAATGCGATGAGACATATAAGGATTTCATCAAAATGAGGGATAATATAACGACAAGTGATTCAGAAACAGAGTCTGAAATCAATAATGTCTCAATGGTGGAAGGACTGAAATTATATGAAGAGTTAGAGAAGCTTAAATATAAACTTCAAATAATGGAGAATCCTCTTTATAGGTAAAATGAATATTTTTGCATTCTTCCCATTTTAAAACCATGTATGTTTTAATGTACCTGAATATATTACAATTTTATTAAAATTGTTTCATGGAAATTATTTGTAGCCTGGTGGAAGCTTCTTACAGAATCTGGTTGTCGTCATCTTCTAGAATGTCAATCTGTGTTCCACTAACTAATATCTGCAAATGTTGTATTGTTTGTAAAGAGTTTTAAAAAGTTTCTTTTAAAAAAAAGACTGTTATTGACTAAGTGGACATCAAGATTGGAATGTACATCTTAATGTGTGCATGTCCCTGGGATGGGTTAAATTACAAAATGTAAAGAACACTAGGATCTCTTATCCTACCCAATCGCAATAACATTATTTTCTTTCCAGGTACGTACTGCGTCGAGATGGCTATGGATTACCTTCCAAACAGGCTAAAGGACCTCGTCCTTCAGGTGAAAAAGTTGTGCATGTTGTTTCAAAGTGCATGACCATTGGCCTCATGCAATCCTTGTTAAAGGAGAAACTAAATGCCGACCATGTCACGCAAGAGCAAGTGCTGGAGGTAAAGCTAATATTCAGTATACTGGCACGTCTCTCACTGTTTTATTAAGTAGAATAAATATTCGGTGAAAGAAATTGTAGAATAGAAATTCAGATATACTGAGGTGCAGCAGCACAGGCAAGCAGCGGTAACAACATACACCTGTAATTTTTAATATTCAGTAACATTTATCGACGGAGGAGATAAATTGGAATTGTAGTGCTTCATTCTCAGGCTGAAGATCAATCTATTTTGTTAATCTGAAATGCATGCCTTGAAATTATTAGTGAAGGTTCTGCTCTAACTACCTGTCCTTTTGTTCAGTTTCACAGTGACCCAGTTGTGGCAATAAATGCTTGCTATGAAGGTGATGTTGTCATTATCTGCGCTGGACATTATTGTGTGAATGGCTATTTTAGAATTGCTGATTCTATTCAGATAGAAGGTAAAGATAAGATGGAGGAATAGAACTTGGCTATAGTCTTGTGATTTGCTGCAAGGTGTGGTGTAAATTGGGAAAGTTGTGTATTTCCCTGTGAACCAAAAGGGTTGTTTGTCATGCTGCTGTAAGCAATACAATATCAAACCTGTTAAGTAAATGGACTTCTGTGTTCGTTAACATGAGACGTCGAGAAGCTGTGAAAAGCGCTATATCAAATGCAAGGATTATTATTACACTTTGCAAGAAATCCTGTGAAGGGCTTTGGGACATTTAGATGAACTTATGAAGGGGTATATCGCATACAAAAATTATTATTTTACTCATCAAATATGAATTCATATGTGCACTGCTTGGCTAGACAAACTATGTACTAAATAATTAATTATCTTATGCAACAATCATTGAATTTTATCCTGGAATGTTACAACAGGAAAGAAAGGGTTTATGTTAAAGTACTGAAGTCTTCTACTAAGTAAGGCCGTTGTTTGAAAATGCTTTAGAATTGATTATTATGTCGAGTGGTGCACTTCAGATCTTTTTCTGAAATTTATAAATATTTTTACAGTTAATATTTTTACTGCACAATGTTGTGTCCTATTAGTTTGTGGTGTTTAGTTTTTTTCCAGGAAAACATCTCTTTATTTTCTTTGTGTCAGGATATGGACTTCCTGATGATGTTGTGCTGGAAAAAGAGGGCAAAGGAGACACCTTTGTGGAATGTATGGCCAGTATTGTGAAAATATCCAATCTGAAATTTGTTCAGCATGATGCTACAGAGGGTATTTTATGTAAGTATGGTAAATTTGTTCTGTGGAATATGAGGGCAGGGCTGAATAATGCAATTTTAAAGCTCTTCCAAGTAACCATTTATAGTATTGCAATTCATTGGTAATCTTTATCTTTGCGTTTTTATATTTCTGCTCCAATTCATTGTATATATTTACCTTTTCACTGGTGTTTTATTGTGCATTACTTATAGAGAAATCGCTTGTGTTTTTTGCTCATCTTAATGCACTTCTCTTGTGATACCAGAATATGTGGCCCACAAACTAAACAGAATTTTAAGATCTTGTTAAGATATTAGTGCTCATTTTAGATTTTGAATGACTTTCCTTCTACAGCAATTGTGTATTCAGCTTAACCTTGACTATTGCAGCTCAGAGACAAATATCTTGTCATAATTCAGCAGATGTACACAATTCAGTACTAATTCTGCAGATGTTTAATGTTTCACATTGTGGTGAGCATCAAATGCCAAAATATTCAGTTTAAGGGAGGGTAATGTGGTTTGAAAAGCATCTGCAGGCAATGTAGAAAATCCTTGGGAAATTAAACAAAAATATCAACTGGTGAATGCGGAATTTCAATCACAAATGATCAGTTGATAATTTGCTGTTTTTAAAATAAATAAATCCAGGAAAGTGTTAATACATAGAAGATTAGATGTGCTCCTCTCCACAGCCTTATTTTTCCAAAAGTCAATAGATTCATATTAAATGTGGCGCTTGAACAAAAATGAATGATTTGTTGTGCAGTGCATGAAAAAAGTGATTTAATCTGGTGGATGTTGTGCTTGAATCAGTTCTGTAAGTACGATGCTCGTCAGGATCAGGAATTCTGTTTAATGGAATTTCAATCATCCGCCTTGTGCGGCTGAATCACACAGAAACTTCATTAACAATCATAATCATAATTTCCCTGCCCTCTTTTCTACAAATTGCTTGCTGCTTTACAGCACGTTTGTGATGTTTTGTTGTCATCTCTGAATATAGGAACATAAAATTCACGACTTGCATTGAATAACCGTTTATTGTATTTTCACACTATTTAGGTGTCCGCCAGGGCCAGACTGTTCTGGAGGGTTGTGTGCTGCAATGTGACACCACAGGAGTGGTACTCAGAACCTCAGCAGAGCTGTGTATGAAAAATTGTGACCTATATGGAGCAAAGGTGCAGGATGATTTTAGATAGACATAGATACAATGACCGCTGATCAACAAAAGCCTCAACGTTAGGTTTTTGGCAGCTTTCAGTTTCTGTTTAGAAAAAGAAATGAGCAATACTGATGTGCGTTTAGGAGTGTACTTCTTTGAACAGTACTTGCTTACCTACTCCATCCCTTGGTGCAGGTTATGTTGCCTACAGCAGTGCTGACACAATTCTTTTTGTGGCGTATTTCCACTCTTCATTCAGTTCACTCCATTAGCTGGAAAAACAAATGCTGAGACCTGTCATAGCAGAGTTGGTGGAAGAGGCCTTATGTAAATATTGCACCAGACTGGATTTTTGAAAATCCAATTTCAAAATAAACTTAATTTCAGTACAAGTCCCTGCTCCAAAAGACATAAGCCATAATGTTGAAAAGTATACATTTCATATTTGCTCAGGAAGTGCTGAAACATGCATTCTATATGAATCGGTAGATTAACAAAAGCACGTTGGCCAATTGGCTGAGGTAGCAGGCGTTCATGTGTGGTAATAACTTGCATTCCTACAAAACTGTTACCTCGGAACTGTAACAATGGATATTCCAGCACCTATCATACTACAATATCAGACTTCAGTCTGATTAAACCATTGAGCTGTAGAATGAGCTCCTTCTAAATTCACCAGTGTAAACATTTGTACCTTAAATCTAAATCGTAGACGGATGCATTTATTTTTAGATTTAAAAGAATGCAGCAGTTTCTTAAACAGGCAAATGTATATGTGTTTTGAAGAAATGTAGAAATGTTTACTTAACAAATTCTTGCTGCAATTCAGTTTTATTGACAAAGTACCTAGGACAGTTTACAGGTATTCCTAAATTCACATGTTTGCAGAATATAATTTCCTGTGTAGTCTTGCCTGAACTAGAATGAATGGGTGGAAAAAATTAGCTGAAATTCATTTTAAACATTTTCAGGATGATTAGCATTGTGTAATTGATTTTAACTGTAGTTTTAAAAGATTAGAGTACTCTGCACACCCCAGGAAGGATTCCTTAATTAGAGTCTGCGAATCTCATTAAACAAGCTCTTACTTCCTTTTCGAAGTTCAATTAGTGGCAAAGAAAAAAAGTAGTGATGACTAAGTATTTAAGATAAATACTGTGATCTTAGCTTTAAAGAAATGTGAACGCCACAGTCCCTTAGCAGTGGGGTAGTCGAATCTAGGTTCATAATTAAAATCATAGTGTTGGATATTTTTAATCGAGTGGTTTGAGGCAATACAATGGCATTTTATTTCAATTAAACTCGTTAAGTTTCAATCTGCCTTTTGCGGGTTAGTTCAATATTTTCTCGTTAAGTTGTTTAAGTTTGAAACATAAATCCAAATTCGAAGCTCTGGTGTTTGTTTTTTCTGTTTCTGGAGAGAAATTGCAAATATATCAATAGTTTTAACCTCTAGCAAAAATAATATTGTTAAACATCAACTTTGATATACAGACTTTGAGAAATTGCTCATTAGCTAGCTGCTTTTCTAGAATGTGGTATGTCAAATCAAGTTCTGTGTTAATTGTAGCAACAATAAGTTCAAAGAATGTGCTTTCCAAGAGGTCACCGGAAACTCACACTCACAGTAAACTTGAATGCTGCAGCCAGTTAATGAGACAAATTGTCTATCAAATGCCCAACCCAGGGTTTCATTTTACTATTAAATTGCTAGGAAACCTGGTTACTTGAGACTTCTTTTCAGATGTGCTACATATAATAAGGGAATTATAGCTATAGAAAGGGCCTTTTGGGAGTTGCAAATGCATTCACTTATTTTAGTCCGTGTGAATCTTTCTGAATTGCACCTTACAGATCATTTAAAATGCATGCTGGCTTTATTGTTGCTCAGCTATTTCATTTCATTGATTTGCTGGTTACCAGAATACCCAATAAGCTTGGTGCAATTCCCATGTAAACAACTGATGTACATTCAACACTAATAAAAATTATCAATAAATTTTGTGCATTTAAAAAAAAGTCCTTATTTTGGAAGGAATATTTGAAAGGATGGAATACTTTCGAAATTATTGCGAAATCAATTTGTTTAACAATTGCTAATTTTGCTAATTGTTTTAAATCGGTGAGTAGGATTATAAAATTACTAATAATTTCGACAAAACCTGCTTCTGTCTTCCTCTCCTCAGTTGACAAATGGCAAAAGTCTGGTTGACACTAGTGACTTTCTATCTGGGACGTAGTTTAATTTTAGTGGCTTCACTGGGGAGCTAAAATATGTGAAGAGTAAAAGCATCTGAAGATTACTTTTTCTTTAAAAGTGGGAATTAAAAGTAAAATAGGGATGAAACTTAAGTTTTTATTAAAAAAAAGTGTATATTATTTAACGGGGGAATAATTTAAAAATTCTCAATCTACAGGGAGCAGGACTTGAGATTTACCCTAGCAGCACTTGTGTCCTGAATGGAAATGACATACATCACTGCAAGGAGGGAATTCTTATTAAGGTAAGCCTTTGGAATGTAAATCATAGACACGGAGAGTGGAAGACAAGGGCACCAAGGTCCACAATTGTCTAGTTTTTGTATTAGCGTTTAACAATGGAAATTAATGGAAACCATACCCTACATCCCAGAAATAATTGGGGGCTTTTAGATTAAGGAAGGAAATGCTGCAAGAATTATTTCTAAATCCATTTTATATTTAGCCTAGGAGGAGTTCGAACCATATTTCGATTCATTTTAAAACAAAATCTAACTTATCATTTAATTCATATTTTCAGGTAATGTAGTTCGATACAGTTTGTGTAAATAATAATTGTTAACTGCTAATATGAAAATTAAAACAATTGTGGACTTTAGGGTAAAGCTACAGTGCAGGAATGAGCAGCTTTCAAGTGGCTGTTCCCCTTCCAGTAGTGTTGGTACGACCTCATTATAGTGGTACTTGCCTGTAAATTCTTTGATGTCTATGATTTTTCCTCTCCTAGTCAAATATCTATGCCACCATTTTCCCACTTTCAATTTATAAATACCACTTTTCTATTCCAAATGCCAGATTCAAGCACTTGAGCCTGGGTCTGTGAGCTTTTCCGTCACTGATGTTCAACATAAGAGGAGTACTCTCCACCCATCTCTAGAGCAGGGAATACAGCTTTTATGTGTCTGTGAGAGCGAGGGAGATGTATGTACTAAGATTGATAACAACCGGAGAATGCTTTGTGCATGTTTGTTTAAATGATCCTAAAATCTATTTATGCTTATTTTACAGAATTTCATGGAAGAGCTTTATGATGTCCCAAAAATAACCATGATGAACAACCTGGTTCATAACCACGAAAATTATGGTGTCACAATGATCAAATTTGCTGTGCACTTTGGGAAAAAGAAGGCCATACCGCCAATTATAATTCAACCTATCGGTAAGTGAAAAGGAACTTTTGTAAATTAGTTTTGTTTTACTGAGTTCATAATTTCACTGAACTCGATCTAAATTATGTTATTGTTTTGACTTTCAACCTGTTCCCCTTTCTCCCCTGAATGTGCTGAGGTATGATTTTCTGTGTGCCTGCTGCTGTCTGGTATCTGGCACAATTGGTCATTCTTCCAGGGATAATTCATTCCAGTTGGTAGGCTATTCCACCGTGGGGATGAAATAGCTGTGCTCAATCCTGTTCTCATCCAACATCCACTTCCATTTTCCTGCAGGCATCATTGTATAGTGGTAAAGAATTGAGAACCTTTGCCTTTTTTTCTTTCTTTCCTCTCTCGGAAATTGTACTGGCTCAATTGTGACAATGGCTCAATTTGTCACAGATTAGAGCTTTGACCTTGGTACCCTTCGAATCTGTATGGGTTGGGTAGTGATCTTTACCAACTGAGCCATTGAGGACAACTCTAAATTAGTTTCAAACCCAATAGCAATAAACGTCTGAATAATCGATGAACACGCTGACTGCCTGGTAGGGCTAGATTTATACAATTGAGTATACAATGCATTTTGTGCTCTAATAAAATGATTGTGTGAGGACTTACAAAGGTCTTTCTGAATTACAGGACAGTTTAACAGTCAACGTCGTGTAATTTTTCAATCATTGCTCAAAGTGCTTGTATTTACAGAGTGTTCATGTTTTAAAATCATAGAATTATACAGCATAGAAGGAGGCCATTCGGCCCATCGTGTCTGTGCCGCCTCTTTGAAAAGAGCCATCCAATTCAATCCCTCTCCCCTGCTCTAAATCGGTGTCCTCAGGTTACCGACATCCTATATGATTTTTTTAACAGCTTTATCTACTTGTCCTGCCACCTTCAAAGATTTATTTATATGAACTCCCAGCTCTCTGTTCCTTCACCCCCTTTAAAATGGTACCATTTAGCTTATATAAAAATATTTTTATTTGAACTATGTACAGGTTCTGCAGAAATTGCATTTTTCACATTAAGTATGAATTGCAGCATGTTTAAAAATAGCTTCAGTACACCGGATATTATGATGTCTTAAAATCAACATTACCAATCTTTATTAATGTCAGTTATTTCATAATAATAATAATAATCCTTGCATTTGATATAGCGCTTTTCACGTCGGGAGGACGTCCCAAAGCGCTTCACAGAATACACTGTAAAGTGAATTGACTGTATATTTGTGGGCGAACGCGGCAGCCAATTGCGCAAAGCAATGTCCCACAAACAGTCGTAGATTGAAAATGACCAATTTAATTATTGTTTTTGGTTTTGGAGGGATTATTATTAGGCTCTGTGTGGAGTAAGGAAACTTGCCCAAGGTTTCGCTCTGCCTGGAATTGAACTCAGGTCTCTCACTTGCAAAGCGAGTGCTCTAACCACTGAGCTACAGGACTCCATAATAAACTCCCCCGTACTCTCATCCCCTTGTCTGACCATAAAGACGATTTCCTGAATTGGTATAAAGAGAGTATCAATAATGCTGCATTCTGCTTTGAAAGTAAATGTTTGATGGTTAGTTAAATTACGTGAACTAGTATCTTGGAGCAGTATCTGTGGATTGGTTTTCTGCATGTTTTTCTAGCTCTTCAGCTGTCTGTACCCAAAGTGACTTTGTGAGAAAGGGACATTTGTATAAACACTAAACCTTATATAACAATGTATCACTGACACAAAAACGTAAATATTCTTGTTATTTTTAATTTGTTTTAAACTTTCAGATGTAGAGCATATGGAGAATCCACTGAACGATGAACACAGCTTGGATACAAATTCGGGCAGTCATGGAACACAGGACATACCACATTTATTGGTTGAGCACTGTAGTCCTAATAAATATGAACAAACTGTAATTCTGAATAATTCTGACATTGCTGAATGTGATGAAGCAGTAACAAATGAGCTCATTTCTACTTCAGCAAAAAAGATGAAGCTGTCCAGACCAAGGCTAGGTGAGGCAGGAGACACTGAGATTAATGACAAACTAATATCGCAGGAAATCTTTTCATCCATTGTGGGTAATCATTTTAGAAAGAATGGAAAGGGGAGTTTTGGAATTGTGTACTACTAATTGCTATGTCTGCTGTTAATTTGTATATCTGAAATATGAAAGGCACCCATTTGCACACCAGTTATTGCACAGCTGCTTTCAGAATTATGATGCATCATCTTAAAGCTGAGTTTGTTCGTTTACATAAATAGGAAAGACTGAAGTGAGATGTTTCAGCAGATAACTAGCACACGATAAGTCTAATTATTAACAGGTATTGCTTCTTGGTAGAATCCTATTTTTTAAACAGTAACCATGTAATAAGGATCACCTACACTCCAACACACAAATTGATTGTTCAGACACTAGTTTAAAAAATAATTCACTGGGAAATTAGTAATTGTTCACCTTTTAGAAAATATGAATTCACCAAATGGAGAAAGATGCTTGTTGCTCAGTGATATGAATATGTAAAATGTTTTTAACTTTTTTAATATTCCATGTAGAGGTTCACAGAGTATTACTCTGCTTTGTTGTATTTCTTTATGTGCTGCTGGGTAGAACTATTGCATGATTGAAATATACATGTATTTATTGTGCAGTCTCCCAATCTTCCTCCACTCTCACCATTCAGCTGTTCATGGTTTTTCTCCCAGTCACTTTTTTTTCTTGTAGCTAACTTCATTTATACCTCCCCCTATTTTCGGCACTCTACATTTCCTGGCTTTCCTCCTCACTTCTGCTTTCATTTCTGTGAGACTCATTTGTTTCATCTTTTATTCTCCAGGAGTTAACAGTAAAGCAGTGCACCTGCTGGCTAACCAATCCCGAAAAGTATTTTTTACATATATATATTAAGAAAATGGGCAAAGAAACTGTTGTGCAAAGTAACTACTATTAAATAAAGTTACCAGCATATTGTGTAAGTGATGCATGTTTGGATATTAATTTTCAGAAGTAAAATGAAGTTGCGATGAAGCAAAGATAAATCACTTGTGCTTACATGACCTTCAGGAAATGTGTGACTGTGCCACGCCCTTATATCTTCCATTTAGGATTTGTGGTGCTTTGCACAAAGTTGTGAATTTTTAAATTTACATTAATATTGAATGCAGAAAGATATTGTTGTTTGATGCACTTTACTTACATACTGTAAGTTTGCGTTTTGATGGTTACCTTTTTCACTATTGTATAAAATTCCTTTAAACGTAAAGTATTATGAACAAAATATGTAGTTTTACTGTTTATTTAGCCCGTTGCCTCCAATCAGCCAGCTCTGGCCTGCTCCACGTCCCCCGACCCACCCGCCCCACCATTGGCCACTTCAGCCACTCTGCCCCCAGCCTCTGGAATTCCATCCCCCAGTCACTCCGCCTCGCCCCCTCCTTATCCTCCTTCAAGTCCCACCTCAAGACCGTCCTCTTCGACCATGCCATTGGCCACCCCCCTTCCCCTGCCCTCCCTTCTCCCACCCTGACCCCAGCTTGGGTCTGAACTGCTGTACTCTGTCCAGCGCCTTGGGACGTTCTCCTGACGTGAAAGGTGCTATACAAGTGTAATCTTGTTGTTATTCTACTAATTGGTGGTCTGAATTCCAGAATGAAGAGAAATATATTTTCTATTTCTTATTTTCTTACCCATTGTTTTTAAACCTCTTGCTGCTGACAATTACAATTAATGACTAATCTTATCGATTCCGTTACTATTTCCAAGTAAAACCTAATTATACCCCAACAAGTGCAGACAGTTTATCTGATTTTTTTTCTCTGATCGCATTGCAACAAAAAAAAACTTTCATTGGTTTGTGATGAATTTAGTTTTCTTTAAATGCAAATTTTAGAGGAAAATGGTGCAGTTTTTAATGCTAACCAGTAAATCTCAGGTGACATGTTGGATAATTTATAGTGGTGTATAAGGAATTTGAATGTGGATCCGTGATTTTGCTAGGAATTATATCCAAACAGAGATGGGGACAGAAACTGTTATTGGAATGTATTCAGAAATTTCCTAAAGTTTTGTATATGCGTCAACATGTGACTGACTAGAAGACTGTACAGCAGTTAGATTAGGCAGAGTACATTCATAATAAGAGATTGATCAGATACATGCAGGGAAAATGGAAAAGTAAAAATACCTTTACTCCAGTATATGTTGCTTTCGTCTATTTGAAAAAGACACAAGACTTTGGTACAAGTTAAACTTCAGAGGATTAGATGAAGAAACCCTTTGGTCCATTGGATACTCTTCCAGATACCCTGGAGGTTTTGATTTTTATTGCTGGGATGAGAGGAGGAAGGGGTGGGCAGAGGTGAGAGGTTTAAATTGTAGTATTGCAGAATTAGGAGATCAATGCAGGATTTTATTGAATTATGGGTATTTAAAGAACACTTAAATGTAGATCTTGATTACATTCCGATGTAGCATTATTAATTTTCAGCTAGCGGGGATAAAGAAGGATGATGACGCAGCCGAATTGAGAAAAGTTAGATCTTCTAAAATCCTTGTTATTGATCATGGGAAGCAGAAGGGTAGATGTCAAAAAACTTTAAAGTTAACTGGCAACATTTGTCAGAGGACAGGAACCCTTTGGTGAAAGAAAAAAAAGTAATTGGGATTCAAATCCTTGCAGTACCAAAGCTTCTGGAATGGCTGAAGCTACTTCCTGCCACTGCTCTGGTGCAAACTCGATGGTCCAATGGTCTCCTATGCAGTAAATTTCTATGATTGTATGCTTCCTGATTTCATGGTTTTCTGATTTTCTATCTGTTGAGTGTAGGTCAACTTTCCTTTCTTGAAGACCTGAGAAAGAGAAACTGACGTATAATCCTTCACTATTTCAATCTAATTTTCTGCTTGTGAAAGTGATTTTGGAGGGGGAAAACTGTCTTGGGTCCAACACTCCTCCATTATTACCTGGTGGATGTAGCTGTAAATAATCTTTTTTAACTTCTAACCTTTCCTGCTGTAGAGTGGTTAACTCTTGATCTGAAAGACCTGCAGTAGCTGCAATACAAACTGACACCAGCACAACTTGACAGCCGAGAGGCAAAATGTTGTGTTATTGTCAGTGCTGTGATGACAAAATCAATAGCTCGATCAAGAAAAAATTACTGTGATGTTTGCTCCCCTCTTCCATGAGGATCCCAAGTGTAAATCTCTTCAGTTAAATAATTGAAGCTAAAGCCTCAATGATCTTTGTAGAGTATTTATTAATAAAAAGTGCACTTTTAAAAAAAAAACTAGTGAAAATATTCTTAGTGAAATTTGATTTTAAAAAGAAATGACATACCTCTTTGGCCTTCTAATCTGAGCTGCCCCTTTAGAGGTTGGGGACTTGAGATTTGATGTTTCATTGCCCAGGGTTTGAGCAACCGCTGTGTCGCACTGATATCAATGGAGCGACTTTCAGCTATTGAGAGACACTTGGGAGCATGCAGCTCAAAAAAGCTTGTTTTATTTATTTTCAACACTTATTAAATGTGGGCCAAGAAAGATTTCTATAACCAGCAACATTTTAAAATTTATTTTCCATAGTGAAAATGTAGATCAGATCAATATGGATCTGAATTTGGACTGAAAATCATCTTTAACGCTGTGCCTTGCAGAGTATTCCCCCAGTAAGCAAATTGTTCTGTTGGCATCTGTCAGTAACAAGAGTGCTGGAAGGCAAAAGATATTCATTGAAATGTGTAGCTGCCAAAAAAGGACATTGAAAAAGATTGTTGTTGGAAATCAAGAAATGCAGAGTATAAATATTATTTGATGATAACTGCATTCACACCATGTACAAGAATGAATTTGAGTAAAACCTCCACTTAATGAGGGTACAGTTACAGTACTGCTGGAGCCTAGAAAGCTATGGGTCATGTTTGGTCTTGTTAGAAGCGTGTGTTGACTGCAGCATATAGAGTGTGCCCAGGACAAATTCTTCCTCAGGCAGTAGCAGTCCAATCCCTGTTGGGATACAAGTTCACATCACAAAACAGCTGAGAATTGGCATCTAATGCTTCAGTCTGCTGGGAAGGGGCATAGTTCAATTTTACAGAATTGTGTTTCTATCATAGACGTGCATTTTCCTCTGGGGCTCAGGCCCAATGGTCTTTTACTAGAAGCGGAACTCGTCATGCACGACCTTGACATGCTAAGGACTGTCATTGGATCCAAAGTTGTAATGTTCTGTTTTCCCAGCAAAATTCCCTGAGAAAATTCCCCACCTGATCAAAAAAAATCTGGGTGTCAGTGTATCTGGCAATAGTACGATGGACCTTGTTACCCTGATATTTCAGGTGCTGTTATCTCTACCCACTTTAGAACACGTTTCTGGAGGCAGAACTTGATATTGCTGCACTCTTCAAAGAGAGGGCGGTTACATAAATGGGGTAAAATGAGAATACTCCGCATTGGAGTTTTTATCGTGACTGCCCTTCAGCAAAAACACCTTTGTAATTAATGCTCGCAAGGTAATACAGTGTTGCTGTAACTATAATAAGATGTCCAGAATGCATTTTGATTGCAGTGCAGCAGCTTTGCATCTACTATTTAACAACACCTTGCCCTTGTATTGCACTTTTTCATGTAATCTGAATGTCTCAAAGCACTTGAATTGTTCTAATGATGGTACAGTTTGTGGCTACGTTTTCTGATTTGTATAAATTGTCTCATTACAATAATAGCACCTAGAGATCTTTTCTATCTCATAATGGCATTAGTTTAAAAGTTTATTGTTGCGATCATCTGAAGCATGTTATTTGCAATGAAGTGTGTGAAAGAATTGCAATTATAAAAAATAGGGGTAACAAAAGATGGCATCTGTTCCAGTTATGGAATCAGCCTTTCCCCCACTATTGAGAATAATAGATTGAAGGATAGAAGGAACAGAGGACAAATAAGTTATTTTAAAAAAAATTGGTTTGGATTAGATTGGCTTTGAAACCATTTAACACCCCCATCTGTTGTCTGATTGATTTAAATCTCCCAGTGGTTGGTGGATGTTGCAGAGATTTTCAGTCAATTTTTTTCTCTCTCTCCTGCAGTGGGATCTCTTACATATCCATGTTCTGGTCAATAATCTGTTATTGCTACAATACAATATTTGAATCTGCCTGAAATCCTGCACATTTATGAAACCAATGGTGTTGAAACATTAATTCTTAAATTAATAATAATAATAACAATCTCTCCTGCTGGCTCAGGGCCACTAACAAGCGCTGCAGAACACTACCCTGTGTGAAGGGAGCAATATAAATGCAAGCTGTTGTTAATACGAGCAACAAAAAGCTAATTAAGAGTACGATTAATGTTCAGTTTATTCGTTCAAAAAACATCAACACTTGGTGTAAATAAATGTTATTAATAAATTGCAGGATGTCTCGGCAAAGTAATTCCTACAGGGTGCAGGAATGTCTATTGTACAACATGTTTCTTAGCTTGCGACTTAATGAACATCACAATGTGTACTTGTAACACTCAAAGCAGTAAATTACCATCAAGGTTTTAAAATCCAGCGATCAATGACAAGTTTATGGAGTGGGTCAAAGTCCATACACAAAGTGGTATGAAAGGATATTTTATGTTTTATTTTTATAAAGAATAATAAACCTTGCATTTGATGTAGCACTTTTCACATCTGCTAGATGTCTCAAAACACTTCACAGAATATACTGTAAAGTGAATTAACTGTATATTTTGTGGGCACAATGCGGCAAACAATTACGCACAGCAGTGTACCTCAAACAGTTGTGGATTGAGTGATCAAATTATTATTTTTTTCTTGAGGGATTATTATCAGGCATGTGGAATAAGGAAACTGGGAATTGGCATGGTGAAAACTTGGGCAGGTTTCCTTATTCCTGATGCAGCAATAGCTGGAAAAAGGCCCCCGAGAATATTTTCTCAGCTTCACACCAATATTTCTTTGGATAGTTTTTCATCTTTTTCAAAATAGAAATACTGATCTCTCAAAAGCTTATCTGTTTATCAACAGCACTTTACACAATCAAAGGTACCACTCTTTTATCTCTTATTCTTTTGTATTTGTCTTAAAAAGTATTTCACTTTTGGAAACAGTGCATGGATTCATGTTTAGCAGAAGGAAAATTCAGAAACAAAAAG